TACACTCTACACCCTGACACCAGCCAAGTCCACTCGCTGTCACGACCAGCCTCTACATGATGTCACAAGAATATGCACATGTTAGTATAATCAAGAGACCCCATTCGAATGTCATATAACCCCACACCCCTACCAGGAGACCCCTCACATCATTTTAAAAGACCCCCCCAATCTCGTCACCAATAACTAATGAATTCCTTACTCGATCCTGTCAACACTAAAAACCTGTATTGGCGAGAGTTCTTTTAACGCAATAAGTGAATTCCGTCTCCCTCTCTCTTTCCTTAAACACTTGACATCATGTAAGTGAATCACCAAGTCTCTCTCGGGTCTAGTCTCTCGTTTCTACCTAACTGGTTCGCTATTCGTCGTTTGTAAAATACGTCTTACTGTCATTGTTTTGCCAAATTAGATTAATTTAACTTGAATTTCATACGTCATTTCTTACAAACTAGCCTAGCCGAATCCCGCCGAATATTTCTAAAATAGTCTAACACAAACCTACCAAATATTACCAAACTAGGCTAACCCAAACCCACCAAATATTCCCAAACTAGCCTAACTCAAACCCACCAAATATTCCCAAACTAGCCTAACCCAAACCCACCAAATATTCCCAAACTAGCCTAACCCAAACCCACCAAATATTCCCAAACTAGCCTAACCCAAACCCACCAAATATTCCCAAACTAGCATAACCCAAACCCACTGAATATCTCCAAACTAGCCTAACCCAAACCCACCAAATATTCCCAAACTAGCCTAACCCAAACCCACCAAATATTCCCAAACTAGCATAACCCAAACCCACTGAATATCTCCAAACTAGCCTAACTCAAACTTTTAAAACTCAGCCCAGTTAAACCAACCCATCTATGTCAACTGCAACTGGTCTATCCACTCACCTAACTTGCTGGTCATGAAACGATCGACTGTCCTAGCTGTTTAGATACGTCACACTTACGATTTACTGCTCCACCCACTTGCTTAGTTGACTCTGATTTTCGGCTCATGTACAGTAGGACGCCCCTGAGTCCACCCAGCTTTAATGGGTACCTGACTCACGTTAGGGAAATTAAAGACGACTAGCCTTACTGCTGCTCACACTATCCCTATATATGCCGAGGTCACAGTAACTGGTGAACTCTGCTTCGTCTGCTCCATGGATTACCACGTCTGAAAGGTTTACTTTACTCGCATTGTGACGACGGCCTAAAAACAGGCAACAACGCCGTTGATTCTTTTTGACAGGAAATCTTCCCAAAGGGAATACCGTTTGCTCCCCCGCCCCCACTGGATGCCTGTCCATATATAGGCCTGACTAGGACACCCCCTGACCATCCCTTCCCCCTCCCCCCACCATTGCGAGAGGCCACTTTAAGATGGTGACACCAACAGGACCCTCTCTCATGTAAGGTAACTCTGCAAGGTCCCGTCTTTTCATGTTGGGGAGTCTCGTCCTGGGCAGATATCGTTAAATATTGTCTGTGTGCTATGTTTAGATGGGTGTCGGCATTTGTGTGTTTGCCAACCCCCCCCCCCCCCCCAACCTCTCGCCCTTACTCTGGGGGCCAAGGCACGGCCCGTGGGCAGTTGTTTTGACCATGTATGGGCCGCTTCAAAGCCAGTGGTCTAACGGCTTGATCAGACTTCAAAACCTCACTTCCGGTGACGTAATATCGAGGTCAATATGGCTGGCGATTTTGAGGGGTTTTACTTTTAAAAACAAAAGGTGAGGTGTGTAGCCATGGGGGAAGGGGGGAGGGGGATGCTGTGTGGTCAGAATACCGACAGAAATAGACCAATACTGCGGCCGAATATTCCGGTAATTCTCGGTAGCGGGCCTTAGCGATAAAAAGGCTTTCGAAACGAAGTGTTTGAAAAACCGCCTCAACATTTCCACTCACAAACAAGGTCTTGAGAGTAGTCATCTCTCGAGCGGCGTTTTAATTGGATGTTATTTATATCTAGGAATATCACGTGATCCGGTCTATTTATAGCGTCTGGTATATGACTCTGTATTTGGCGTGCGGTGACTTGAGTGTTTATCTGATGAATGAGCTGTGAGGTTGTTAGTCTTGAGGTGGGGCTGTGTCAATCGGCTTGTGTTACAGTTGTGGTAGACGGGGAAGACGGGACTTTATTGTGCTGGAGAACATGAATTATTTGTTTTAAGGTTTTAAGTTCTTGTTCGATTCGGAATTATCGGCTGATATTTCAGTGATTAACTGTGAAGTATACACAACTAGATTCTATATAATACAGTATTACACATACAGTATTACACACAGTAATAATAAAGAGATAGTTTGATCTTCGTTGAGTTTTTAGAGTTAATTTCGGGATAGTTATAAACTTTTTATGATTTTTTAAAAATCTGGATTATCGTCAATATAATATGAACTTTTACTGTTAATTTCTGGATAGTTGTAAACTTTTTGTGATTTTTTAAAAATCTGGATTATCGTCAGTATAATATGAACTTTTACTGTTAATTTCGGAATAGTTGTAAACTTTTGTGATTTTTTTTTCTGGATTACCGTCAATATAATTTCTAGAAAGTTGTGGAGCTGTTGTTGTTGTTGATGTTTATCTGAGCACAATGATGGTGGTGGCTGTCGCCGACATGTACGGTAAGTTGACCGTCGCCTGAAGTCGTTTCATGTTAACTTCGTAAACTGGATGTACATGGATTAAATGGTAACTTTACTACTGATACAAATCTGTTTCCCAATAACTTTCCTTAACTGACAAAGTAGTAGGCTATGTCCTATGTTTTTAATATCGGGAAGGCGAAATCCCCTGCGCCCTAGATACACGAGAGTAGGCCTATATCAAAAGCTAGTACGTGATGACTGGCTCCTTGTATTCGCTACCTTCCAGTCAATAGTCAATAGTTTCTTCCAGGCATCTCTTTTGGTGGGGGTGGGGTGGGGGGGGGGGGGAAGAAAGTCTACCGCCCCTTCACCCCCAAACTAAATGGAAACATTTACTTATACCATTGTCCACTTTTTCATTTTGGCCCGAAATTTTTTATCCCACCTCATCTACTTTCATGATCAATAACGGAAAGATCCAATCCCACCCGACCTTAATCCTGCAATCGGATTATTCCTGCCGTTTATGAATTGACTCTTATCCTAATATTTAACTTAACCCATTGTTGAAAAGTAAGATTAGGATTAGGGAAGCTGGATAAAATAAGCTTACTTTGCACTTTGTTGGTTCCACTGTTTTGTATGCTGTGGAACGTCATGTATATTTACCATTTTAAACCCGCGCAGAAGAAGTAAACTTCACCTATAACCTCGGCAAGTGAAGGGAAAGTGGTCAGCACTAGACCTCCTTTACTTTTCCTTATGCTGGGAACCAGAGGCGTAGCGAGGGGGGGGGGGGTGCGGGGTGCGGACCGCACCTGGCGACACCATTTAGGGGGGTGACACCAAGGCAAAAAATAGCAAAATATATAGAGAAAAACTTGAGGGGGGTGCAAAATCGAAAGTTTGAGGGGGGATGCAAATCAAAAGTTTGAGGGAGGGTGTGCAAATCGAAAGTTTGAGGGCGAGGGGGGGGGGGGTGCAAATCGAAAATTTGAAAGTTTGTCACCGGGAAGGGTCTCTACGCCTCTGGGGGGTGACACCATTAAGTGCCGCACCGGGTGACACTCGACCTCGTTACGCCACTGCTGGGAACCCATCAAAGCTAAGTCGACTCAAGGACGTCCTATGAAGATTTCTATGCATCGAGAATTTGAGATTAGCTGTCATGCGCTCTACCATGCGACCACCCAGCCCATACAGATTGCCTAGAGCAAGTTGCGACCACCCAGCCCATACAGATTGCCTAGAGCAAGTTGCGACCACCCAGCCCATACAGATTGCCTAGAGAAAGACACACAACACATCAGCAGTCCTCCCCCTGTTTATTGCCCAGCTGTAGTGGCTTTAAACGAAATGGTCATAAGGTGTTCAAGTTCTGTTGATACACCTGGTCAACCATTGTGTCGCTGGTGTCAGCTGGCGTGTCACGTGGGGTCTATAAATAGATACCCCGCGAGTAAACAGCTTGCTGGAACTTGCTTTTGTTATTGGACAGAGCGAGTCACGTGATACGGTTGAACGCGGATTAATATCGTATCAAACCTATATGTTACGTAATTAATTATAAACGTGGGCTCCACTTTGAAAATCATATGTGGCTAATATTTTTTTTTAATTTATAAAACTGACAATAGTACGATACACCGTTCAATCGTATAACGTGTTTGTAAACAAAACTTCGTGTGGTATCGCTGTCAGCGTTATAATTAGGGTTAAAAGGTAACAAGTTTCGTAGAGTCAAGATTACGATCTAACTAGTAACGGACCCGCGTATGGTTTGCAGTGTTTCTTCCAGACTCCCCCCCCCCCCCCCCCACCCCCCGAAAGATGCCTGGAAGAAACTCTAATGGTTTGTGCAAAGCTGGTTTGGCCAAAGTTGAATTAGGGTAGCATTAGTAAAGTAAAAATATCTTTGGCATTAGTTTAGATATCGTGTCTTTATTTCCTGTTAATCTGGTTTGTCTTTAATTTTGAGGGTGCAGTAAAATAGTCTTCGGTTAGAATCGTGTCTTGATTAGATCCAGGGTAGGTTAGAGTTAAATCGTATCTGATATTGCTTTGATTTTTAAGTTCTCCAGTTTTGAAAGTATAGGAATAGTTTGACGACAAGAAAATGGCCAGTTCGGTAGCCCGTAATAGAATAGATATTTTAAATTGTACTATGCCGGTGATATTTGTGTGTATGTTGCCGGTGATATTTGTGTGTTTTTATTCGGTAATATTTGTGTATGTTACCGGTGATATTTGTGTGTATGGGACCGGTGATATTTGTGTGTTGTTTCCGGTGATTTTTGTGTATTTTGCATAGTTTCGAATTCACCCATTTTTTAAAACTATTTTAGTACGATACCCACGGGACAAAATGGACCAATCAGAGACGTTTGTTTTATTTACTTCCAGATATCCGCGGGGACATCAAAAGGAAAAAGTTTAACCCAATCTCGGCGGTGAGAAATTTTTTCCGTACCAAGAAAAAGAAAGAGGATTCAGTGGTGACAGTCAAGGCCCAATCAACGTCCACGTTACATTCCGGGCTAGATGAGGATGACGACGATGGCGGGTATGTTACTGTGGATTGGTTGCTTGTTTTTGTTCTATTTTGTGAACCCCCAAAATAAGCAAACTCTTGCTAGTAATGTAAAAAATTGTTATAAAATTTCGAATGTTAAAAGTACGTCTCCGAATATAGGCCTACATAGTTGTTGGCCGTATTTTTAGAAAGTTTACGTCCTTTTTCTTTAGGTTTAAACGTTCCCAGCAGAATTCTTCTGTAGAATATCAACTAACAATTTGCATTATTAAATATAATCTAATGAGAGACTTAAAAAAAATTAATAAGCATCCGTATTTTAAAAAAAAATTATATAGTAGCTGGTGAGATGCATTGATTACTTATAGGATTTGTCCTTATGCTTCTCGAGTTTGAACCCGGGTTCAAGTCAGTAGATCGTCCCTGAGTCCACCCAGCTCTGATGGGTACCTAACTCACGTTGGGGAAAATAAAGGCGGCTGGGCATAGTGCTGACCACACTATCTCTTCATATGCCGAGGTTACAGAAACAGGTGAACTCTACTTCCCATGCCACATGGACCATCAGGTTTAAAGAGGGAACTTAGCTTACGCTTTCATGATTTGACAATACCTGTTATAATGAAAGACCATGTAAAGTTGCAGAATGTACCACCTTTTTATAGCATTAGAGATTAGTTTTGTCAAGCCTGTGTGACATTAGCTCCCCTCTTCAGCATAGGGTATGCAGACGTTAAGGACGGTGCTTTATCTTATGGATGTAGCACATTGTTTTAAACTGCATGCTACGCATATAACTGTTGATACGTTTAATGAAGCCCAAATCTCTGTGGTGAAGGGAGGGGGGGGGGGGGATCTGTTAATTTTTTTTTTCAATAGACAGGCTGTCTTTTTATTAATTCCATCGAGAGAAGATCGTTTTATTATATTTGAAGTTGAATTAGTTACTGTGAAATATCCTGACAGGTTTTCTATATGCGCTGGATTAGTTTTGTTGCGGTATGGCAGGATTAAAACACCCTCTCCACGCGGCTCAATCTTCCTGAAATGACACCTGACATCTTTTTTAATGAAATGTCATCTTCTGTAGCTGATTAGAAATATGTCACACGCGAGGAAAAGCGTGTAGGGTTTGGGGGGGGGGGGGGGGGAGTTAGGGAGGTGTCGTATTTTAAGAAGGTGAGCTTAGATTGTCAGCACGTCCCTGTCGTCCTGTGTGATGTTTTGTTCATATTTCTTAGCTGATGTTATGTTCATATTTCTTAGCTCATGTTTTGTTCATATTTCTTAGCTGATGTTTTGTTCATATTAAATAGCTGATGTTTTGTTCATATTTCTTAGCTGATGTTTTGTTAATATTACTTAGCTGATGTTTTGTTCATAATGTTTTATTCATAATGTTTTGTTCATAATGTTTTGTTCATAATGTTTTGTTGATATTACCTAGCTGATGTTTTGTTCATATTTCTTAGCTGATGTTTTGTTCATATTTCTTAGCTGATGTTTTGTTCATAATGTTTTGTTCATAATGTTTTGTTCATAATGTTTTGTTCATAATTTTTTGTTGATATTACTTAGCTTATGTTTTGTTCGTGATGTTTTGTTCGTGATGTTTTGTTCGTAATGTTTTGTTGATACTACTTAGCTGATGTTTTGTTCATAATGTTTTGTTCATAATGTTTTGTTGATATTACTTAGCTTATGTTTTGTTCGTGATGTTTTGTTCGTAATGTTTTGTTGATATAACTTAGTTGATGTTTTGTTCGTGATGTTTTGTTCATATTGTAAAGTGATGTTTTGTTCGTGATGTTTTGTTCATATTTCTTAGGTGATGTTTTGTTCACATTTGCTACGTAGTGTTGTGATCGTGATGTTTTGTTTGCATGTCTTGCTTGATGTGTTGATCATATTTTTTCACGTGATAATACAGAACGGGTTAGTTATTTCAACAGAAGAAAATAGAATTAAAAGAGTTGCACAAAATCGGACAGGGTAATTAACTCCGCTTTTTCTGGTAGTGTTTTACCGGTTGCATCCCCTGAAAGAAATTATTCAATTCTGTGTCACTAAGTTGTATAGTGAATAATTCTTTACTAAAATTTAAGAAACGACATAAACGCTTTTCTTTATAGTTTTTTAATTACTTGTGCTTTATTATATATTTAATGAAAATAATTTGTTTCTCCCTTTTTTAGAGCATAGTTATAGAAATCCTTGTTACTAAGACGGTTTTTAGAAATAAATTTAAAAAAAAATAGCTATCAGCAGGTAGGGACATATTATTAATTTTTTTGTAGACTATCATAAAGGATCAATTAATGTGTGTATACGAGGTTCAGGGCCTTTATTGTTTCTTTCAACCAGTTCACTCCTCTTCAGCCAGAGGCTTAATGTATGAACATGTTGCATGTTACATACAATATTATACATAGTATACAATTTAACATATAGTTTTTTAGCATTTCTTTGCGTCTTGAAGTTTCATTAAAAGATTACATTAACATTTTGGTCTAGTCTCGTCCTTTTGTAAGTTTTTCAACCGTGCTTTTTGCAATTAGTCTTGTGTTTATTCTTCGTTTTTTGTTGTCGATATGGAGTATTGAGGATTGAAGTTAGGTCACTAATTTGTAGTTGTAGTTAAGTCGATATGGGGCATTAGAGTACCGAGTTTGGTGATGAGGGAGGGGTGGTTGTATTTACGAGAGTCAGAGAAAATATGACTAAATTTTTTCGTCTTGGTCGCTGCTCTTCTCTTTCTTGTCGTAAGGGATTCTTATTTTCTTCTCTGGTGTGATGCTGAAGTAAGCTGAGTAGTAATTGGTACCATCCCCCTTTTCAGAGTGTATTTCCTCGCAGTGACTGTCCCAAGCATCCTCTGAAAGGAAAAATGTTTCACAGATGGTGCATTGGAAAGTTTCAGTCTCCTATGTGCTTCTGCGTGGTGTGTGATTGCTTGTTCGCGTGTAATCTGTGTATTGCATAATCCGCATAGTGTATTCTTCGGGTGTTGTTTGTAATGTTAAACATACTCTTCAATGTTGTTGCACATCTTGTAGCAGGATCCGCGCAGGTCATAAGCTCATTAGTCTTTGCTGTTTTTGTTGCTCTACCTTTCTCTAATAAGGGGCTGTCACTTTTCTTCCTTTTTGATGATGGCGATTCTGAAAGTGAAAATGGCTTGGCTTTGCCGGTGCTAGATGTATCTTTAGTGTTAATTTTAGCGCTGATTTTTCCTGATTGTGGCGTTGTGCTTTGAGTTGGTGTAGCTGAATATTGCTTTGTTGGTGCGACCAGAGTTTCCTGTCGCGGCGAGTCTTGATTTTTTTTGGTGACACTGATTTGTCCAGTTTTGTGTTGACGCGCATGTTTGGCATGCTTGTTTTCTTCCCGGTATTGCTATGAGAACGTTAATCGCTTTGTTTTTGTAATTGGATTTTTTAAATATTTTTTTTTTATAATACTCAAATACAATGGCAACTAACAACTAATAGTTGAGTTGCGTTGTATTTCTAGTTAACTTGGTACGATATATGTGTACTTTTAGTTAGCGACCATATGTTGCAGACGATATTGTATTAAGTTATTCTTGTTCCTGAATTTTCATGTGCCCTTATATTCCTGTGCTCGAGTACATTATTTCTGCTTTTGTTAATAAATGGGCTATGGCTTGTGGTTTATTACAACGATACACCTCCCTCCCATCCCTAATGAACTATTCCCGACAAAGTTATGCCCCTTGGCCAAAGTTTCCGGCGCGGTGGCCTCCCTGCTGGCTGTGTTTGGCCAGGGATTTTGTCCGTTTGCTGACCGGCTTGACATGTCAGTGTTGTCTGTTGATCCATTTGCCAGGAAGTTTTGCCACGAAAAGGGAGGGGGGGGGGGGAGGGGGCGACAGAATGGTGCCAGGAAAAATAGGACGGATTCGATATGGTGATAATTTGCATGTTTTATTGGCCGTTGATTAAACTTTTTTTTGTGTGTGTTGCACGATCGTTTGTTAGACTCCCAGTTATCGTTGTGAAAATTGTTTTGTGAAATTATTTTTTTGTGTGTAAAAAGTGGATCCATTGTTCTTCCGAGGAAATAATTTCTTCAGCAAAAAACAACTTATGGTGAGTTAATTAATTAACGTCGTTACAAGGAAAAAATTAAGCGCAATTCTCCGACATCTACAGAAATGTGGGGGATGGGGATTTATAATAACGGTGCGGCGATACGGTTTGTTGTAGGCTGTGATGTGGATCTTGTGGTTTTGATGCTGTTTCGTTCATGGTGTTTTATTTTTTTAATCGATGCTGTTTTTAAAGCTGTTTTTTTTTTAAAAATATAAACGTTTATTATCGCTCAAATCTTAAATATTTAAGCTACCAAAGCTTATGTTAAAGAAAGCAAGTTTATTACAAGCTTTTATTTAACTCACTTCCTCGACAGTCTGTCTGTCTGTCTAGACGGAAACGCAGGAGTGAAAATTCGGACAGTTCTACTTGACCGATACGATTTACAGTTGGCACGTGGGTCAAGACATGAAGACAATGCAATCTGAAACTAAATTTGACTTAATTGGATGCCTAATTAATTTTTTATGAATTAATAAAAATTTGGACCGAATTAGTAGGCATGTCTAGCCAACCACACCACACGCGTCATCACCTTCAATAGCAGCGCCATCACGTAATGGCTGCGTTCAAAAACCATTGCGCGCCTACTGAACGTGATGTTCAGTAGGCGCGCAATGGTTTTTAGTCATGTAACTCTATTGTAAATAAAACATGTAAAGTACTGAAAAAAAATTCATAAAAAACGTTTTAATAACAAGCTTTTATGTAATGATGCACTAAAAAGTAGAAAATAAATTATAGACTACTATTTAAATAACTATAAAGAAAAGCGTGGGTGTCTTCCTTAACATTAGTAAAGGTATCCAATAGATACTAAAGTGACCCACGCTTTTCTTTATAGTTATTTAAATAGTAGTCTATAATTTATTTTCTACTTTTTAGTGCATCATTACATAAAAGCTTGTTATTAAAACGTTTTTTATGAATTTTTTTTTTAGTGCATTTTAAAGCTGATTATTACAAAGGTTTTAAATTTTTATTTTCGTGTTGATATTTTGGATATTATGGGACGGCGTGGTCTAGCGGTAGAGAGCAAGACTGCTTACCCGAAAGTCTCGAATTCGGATTCGGCAGTAGAATATACCTGGGTGTCATTAGCTCACTTTGACCGTACAGAAATGTGTTCATTAGGTCACTTTGTATTAATAATGTGTCCGTTTGGATCACTCTGACTGTAATCATAGTGTGTCAAATGGGCCAAGTTATGCCGATAGTGTGTCCTTTTGGTCACTTTGAGTTGACAGTGTGTTTGTTGGGTCTGTTTGACTATGATATTGTGTCTTGAGTGTGAGATCTTCAAGTTTTCTGATCTCTGTAAGATGTAGGTACGTGTTCTATGCTCTAGACACGCCACTACCTGTGTCTCACCTGTTTTGATTTTCTGCGTCAGTCGTGACTTGGGTCACGTGATGCATCGACGTGAGCGCCAGTTTGTGACGTCATTGAGTACGGTTGTGAAAATCAATACATACATACATGCATTCAAATAAGTTCCGCGGGGGGGGGGGGGGGGTAATGTTAGTGTATGTTATTAATATTGACGGAAGGGGGAAGGGTATACTAGAGCACGGATATTACGTTAATAATTGGCTCTTATCAATGGCGTTGTTGTCGCTTGTGGTGTTGTCATTGGTGGTGTTGTCATTGGCGGTGTTGTCGTTGGTGGTGATGTCGTTGTTGGTGTTGTCAGTGGCGTTGTTGTCGTTGGTGGTGTTGTCATTGGTGGTGTTGTCATTGGTGGTGTTGTCATTGGTGATGTTGTCATTGGTGCTGTTGTCATTGGTGGTGTTGTCATTGGTGGTGTTGTCATTGGTGGTGTTGTCGTTGGTGCTGTTGTCATTGGTGGTGTTGTCATTGGTGGTGTTGTCATTGGTGGTGTTGTCATTGGTGGTGTTGTCGTTGGTGGTGTTGTCATTGGTGGTGTTGTCATTGGTGGTGTTGTCATTGGTGGTGTTGTCGTTGGTGCTGTTGTCATTGGTGGTGTTGTCATTGGTGGTGTTGTCGTTGGTGGTGTTGTCATTGGTGTTGTTGTCAGGGCAAGATTGTTTGAACTAGTTACCAGTATATGTAAGTATGCATATATGTCTGTATTTATGATGTATGTCTGTATTTATGATGTATAGGTTTTGTCAACGAACTCAGGCAGTTTTAATGCTCAATGGAATTTAAAATTGTGCATAAAAATAATTTGAGGTTTTTTTTTTCCCCATATTACTTCAGTTGAAACAAACATATGAGTAGGGGTGTGCATGCGGTGTTTATGTGTAGGGAGGGGGTGGAGGTGTCTGACCACTGATTGACCCACGTGTAGATTGTGTGTGTGTGTGTAGGGAGGGGGTGGAGGTGTCTGACCACTGATTGACCCACGTGTAGATTGTGTGTGTGTGTGTAGGGAGGGGGTGGAGGTGTCTGACCACTGATTGACCCACGTGTAGATTGTGTGTGTGTGTGTAGGGAGGGGGTGGAGGTGTCTGACCACTGATTGACCCACGTGTAGATTGTGTGTGTATGTGTAGGGAGGGGGTGGAGGTGTCTGACCACTGATTGACCCACGTGTAGATTGTGTGTGTGTGTGTAGGGAGGGGGTGGAGGTGTCTGACCACTGATTGACCCACGTGTAGATTGTGTGTGTGTGTGTAGGGAGGGGGTGGAGGTGTCTGACCACTGATTGACCCACGTGTAGATTGTGTGTGTGTGTGTAGGGAGGGGGTGGAGGTGTCTGACCACTGATTGACCCACGTGTAGATTGTGTGTGTGTGTGTAGGGAGGGGGTGGAGGTGTCTGACCACTGATTGACCCACGTGTAGATTGTGTGTGTGTGTGTAGGGAGGGGGTGGAGGTGTCTGACCACTGATTGACCCACGTGTAGATTGTGTGTGTGTAGGGAGGGGGTGGAGGTGTCTGACCACTGATTGACCCACGTGTAGATTGTGTGTGTATGTGTAGGGAGGGGGTGGAGGTGTCTGACCACTGATTGACCCACGTGTAGATTGTGTGTGTGTGTGTAGGGAGGGGGTGGAGGTGTCTGACCACTGATTGACCCACGTGTAGATTGTGTGTGTGTGTGTAGGGAGGGGGTGGAGGTGTCTGACCACTGATTGACCCACGTGTAGATTGTGTGTGTGTGTGTAGGGAGGGGGTGGAGGTGTCTGACCACTGATTGACCCACGTGTAGATTGTGTGTGTGTGTGTAGGGAGGGGGTGGAGGTGTCTGACCACTGATTGACCCACGTGTAGATTGTGTGTGTGTGTGTAGGGAGGGGGTGGAGGTGTCTGACCACTGATTGACCCACGTGTAGATTGTGTGTGTATGTGTAGGGAGGGGGTGGAGGTGTCTGACCACTGATTGACCCACGTGTAGATTGTGTGTGTGTGTGTAGGGAGGGGGTGGAGGTGTCTGACCACTGATTGACCCACGTGTAGATTGTGTGTGTGTGTGTAGGGAGGGGGTGGAGGTGTCTGACCACTGATTGACCCACGTGTAGATTGTGTGTGTGTGTGTGTAGGGAGGGGGTGGAGGTGTCTGACCACTGATTGACCCACGTGTAGATTGTGTGTGTGTGTGTAGGGAGGGGGTGGAGGTGTCTGACCACTGATTGACCCACGTGTAGATTGTGTGTGTGTAGGGAGGGGGTGGAGGTGTCTGACCACTGATTGACCCACGTGTAGATTGTGTGTGTGTGTGTAGGGAGGGGGTGGAGGTGTCTGACCACTGATTGACCCACGTGTAGATTGTGTGTGTGTGTGTAGGGAGGGGGTGGAGGTGTCTGACCACTGATTGACCCACGTGTAGATTGTGTGTGTGTGTGTAGGGAGGGGGTGGAGGTGTCTGACCACTGATTGACCCACGTGTAGATTGTGTGTGTGTGTGTAGGGAGGGGGGTGGAGGTGTCTGACCACTGATTGACCCACGTGTAGATTGTGTGTGTGTGTGTAGGGAGGGGGTGGAGGTGTCTGACCACTGATTGACCCACGTGTAGATTGTGTGTGTGTGTGTAGGGAGGGGGTGGAGGTGTCTGACCACTGATTGACCCACGTGTAGATTGTGTGTGTGTGTGTAGGGAGGGGGTGGAGGTGTCTGACCACTGATTGACCCACGTGTAGATTGTGTGTGTGTGTGTGTAGGGAGGGGGTGGAGGTGTCTGACCACTGATTGACCCACGTGTAGATTGTGTGTGTATGTGTAGGGAGGGGGTGGAGGTGTCTGACCACTGATTGACCCACGTGTAGATTGTGTGTGTGTGTGTAGGGAGGGGGTGGAGGTGTCTGACCACTGATTGACCCACGTGTAGATTGTGTGTGTGTGTGTGTAGGGAGGGGGTGGAGGTGTCTGACCACTGATTGACCCACGTGTAGATTGTGTGTGTGTGTGTAGGGAGGGGGTGGAGGTGTCTGACCACTGATTGACCCACGTGTAGATTGTGTGTGTGTGTGTAGGGAGGGGGTGGAGGTGTCTGACCACTGATTGACCCACGTGTAGATTGTGTGTGTATGTGTAGGGAGGGGGTGGAGGTGTCTGACCACTGATTGACCCACGTGTAGATTGTGTGTGTGTGTGTAGGGAGGGGGTGGAGGTGTCTGACCACTGATTGACCCACGTGTAGATTGTGTGTGTGTGTGTAGGGAGGGGGTGGAGGTGTCTGACCACTGATTGACCCACGTGTAGATTGTGTGTGTGTGTGTAGGGAGGGGGTGGAGGTGTCTGACCACTGATTGACCCACGTGTAGATTGTGTGTGTGTGTGTGTAGGGAGGGGGTGGAGGTGTCTGACCACTGATTGACCCACGTGTAGATTGTGTGTGTGTGTGTGTAGGGAGGGGGTGGAGGTGTCTGACCACTGATTGACCCACGTGTAGATTGTGTGTGTGTGTGTGTAGGGAGGGGGTGGAGGTGTCTGACCACTGATTGACCCACGTGTAGATTGTGTGTGTATGTGTAGGGAGGGGGTGGAGGTGTCTGACCACTGATTGACCCACGTGTAGATTGTGTGTGTGTGTGTAGGGAGGGGGTGGAGGTGTCTGACCACTGATTGACCCACGTGTAGATTGTGTGTGTGTGTGTAGGGAGGGGGTGGAGGTGTCTGACCACTGATTGACCCACGTGTAGATTGTGTGTGTGTGTGTAGGGAGGGGGTGGAGGTGTCTGACCACTGATTGACCCACGTGTAGATTGTGTGTGTGTGTGTAGGGAGGGGGTGGAGGTGTCTGACCACTGATTGACCCACGTGTAGATTGTGTGTGTGTGTGTAGGGAGGGGGTGGAGGTGTCTGACCACTGATTGACCCACGTGTAGATTGTGTGTGTGTGTGTAGGGAGGGGGTGGAGGTGTCTGACCACTGATTGACCCACGTGTAGATTGTGTGTGTGTAGGGAGGGGGTGGAGGTGTCTGACCACTGATTGACCCACGTGTAGATTGTGTGTGTATGTGTAGGGAGGGGGTGGAGGTGTCTGACCACTGATTGACCCACGTGTAGATTGTGTGTGTGTGTGTAGGGAGGGGGTGGAGGTGTCTGACCACTGATTGACCCACGTGTAGATTGTGTGTGTGTGTGTAGGGAGGGGGTGGAGGTGTCTGACCACTGATTGACCCACGTGTAGATTGTGTGTGTGTGTGTAGGGAGGGGGTGGAGGTGTCTGACCACTGATTGACCCACGTGTAGATTGTGTGTGTGTGTGTGTAGGGAGGGGGTGGAGGTGTCTGACCACTGATTGACCCACGTGTAGATTGTGTGTGTGTGTGTGTAGGGAGGGGGTGGAGGTGTCTGACCACTGATTGACCCACGTGTAGATTGTGTGTGTGTGTGTGTAGGGAGGGGGTGGAGGTGTCTGACCACTGATTGACCCACGTGTAGATTGTGTGTGTATGTGTAGGGAGGGGGTGGAGGTGTCTGACCACTGATTGACCCACGTGTAGATTGTGTGTGTGTGTGTAGGGAGGGGGTGGAGGTGTCTGACCACTGATTGACCCACGTGTAGATTGTGTGTGTGTGTGTAGGGAGGGGGTGGAGGTGTCTGACCACTGATTGACCCACGTGTAGATTGTGTGTGTGTGTGTAGGGAGGGGGTGGAGGTGTCTGACCACTGATTGACCCACGTGTAGATTGTGTGTGTGTGTGTAGGGAGGGGGTGGAGGTGTCTGACCACTGATTGACCCACGTGTAGATTGTGTGTGTGTGTGTAGGGAGGGGGTGGAGGTGTCTGACCACTGATTGACCCACGTGTAGATTGTGTGTGTGTGTGTAGGGAGGGGGTGGAGGTGTCTGACCACTGATTGACCCACGTGTAGATTGTGTGTGTATGTGTAGGGAGGGGGTGGAGGTGTCTGACCACTGATTGACCCACGTGTAGATTGTGTGTGTGTGTGTAGGGAGGGGGTGGAGGTGTCTGACCACTGATTGACCCACGTGTAGATTGTGTGTGTGTGTGTAGGGAGGGGGTGGAGGTGTCTGACCACTGATTGACCCACGTGTAGATTGTGTGTGTATGTGTAGGGAGGGGGTGGAGGTGTCTGACCACTGATTGACCCACGTGTAGATTGTGTGTGTGTGTGTAGGGAGGGGGTGGAGGTGTCTGACCACTGATTGACCCACGTGTAGATTGTGTGTGTGTAGGGAGGGGGTGGAGGTGTCTGACCACTGATTGACCCACGTGTAGATTGTGTGTGTGTAGGGAGGGGGTGGAGGTGTCTGACCACTGATTGACCCACGTGTAGATTGTTTCTAGCATCTGGTGGACAAGCACTGCTCACGCTCAAGTTTTCCGTAGATCTTTTTGTTTCACTCCCCCACTCCACCCCACTCCGACCTCAGCCCCACCCCACCCCCTCCCACAGAACACGCTCCTTTGTTGTAGTCTGCACGCTCTCTATGCTACAATCCACCACCCCCCTCCCCTTGTCAGTTCGCTCAATTTACTAGTCTGCTCACCACCCCCCCCCCCCCCCCGGGTAAATTACCGCTCCTATCTGCTGTATTTCATTTTTTCAAACAGCCAACCCCAACCCCTCCCCCCCCCCCCCCGAGCCAGTTACCGCTATCTGCTGTCCCACCCCCCCCCCCCCGTCCGTCCGTCCCTCCCCCCACACACACATGGGCCACTTACACGATCCTGTCTGCTATTTCTACCCCCCCCCCCCACACACACACATGGGCCACTTACACGATCCTGTCTGCTATTTCTACCCCCCCCCCCCCCCACACACACATGGGCCACTTACACGATCCTGTCTGCTATTTCTACCCCCCCCCCACACACACACACACACACATGGGCCACTTACACGATCCTGTCTGCTATTTCTACCCCCCCCCCCCCCACACACACACATAGGCCACTTACACGATCCTGTCTGCTATTTCTACCCCCCCCCCCCTCCTCCCTCCCTCCCCTTTGCTATTTCGCCTGGTGCCATTTAACAACAAGACGATCAACATCGTGAGCCACGCCTTTTTAATCACCCCCCTCCACACGTCCTTTCAACCCCCTCTCCCCCCCCCCCCTCTTTCCCGCCACGCGCGTCCTCCCCACAACAAAATCCGATTTCCAGGCGTTCACGGTGCCAGCCGTCTCTGGAACCATTCTGTGATTCATATGTGTCATCCGCGGGTTGCATTCCTGGTCTCAGGATTCTACGTCTGTCGTTTGTTTTTATTGGAAGTGCTCACACTGCAAGGTCAGTCTCACTTCAGCCTCGTCCTGTTTATACTCACACACACATGAGCTCCGTCCTCTTTTACTCACTCACATTTCTGCTTCTTTTGTCTGTTTCCAGTTGTTGTTTTTTGTTTAATGCAAACAATACGTTTTGAAGCGGCCCGCTGTTGCCGGTAAACAAAACTATTGATATTTTATGTCGCGCTGTCACTGTTTTTTGTTACAAAGATACCCGCTCTATTTAAGTACTTACGTCATCATAACATATCTCTTTGTATTATACAGAAGGAGGTATTCCCGATTTTCTTCGCTAAGCCCATTTAACTGTGTGATTACGTGTGTTTATTTATTTATGTATGTAATTTAATGTTTGAATCTCCCCCGTCACTCCTGTTGGATTGTAGTCCGCGAACCACAGTTTTCCAAAACCTTTTGTCAAGGCCTGCCAGTATTTGATTTATATTGAGGTTCATTTGTTCGTGAGTGGGGGAAAACAAGTATTACATCCACTTCAAACTATATATTTGTGTTGTGAATGTTTTTATCATTGGTCTGTTAGCATTTTGTTTTACTGTTTCACAACAATGTGATAACACAAGCTATCCCTATGATAAATTAACCCCTACCATAACCCCCAAATTTATCACTTCATCGCCAACTATAACTATAACCCAAACTCCCCCCCCCCCCCCCCCCTTGTCATCCGCCTTACACTGCTTGACTTGCAGCTATTGATTATCATCCCGCAACATGGCAGAAGTTTTTTTTTATCCCCACTGAGTTATATTTCTCCAGATTTCTCCGGCTTTGTTTTTTTTAACAGATAATTTCTCGCCGTAGCGATCTTGCAGAAATGTCGGTTTTCAAACATTTGGTGGAGCAGAAGAAATGTCTGTTTTCAAACATTTGGTGGAGCAGTTGCGAAAGAGCTTTTTTGTATACAGTTGTGTATTCTCATTGTTATTTTATGTTTGTTGTATATTATCTATAACTGTCTCATGAATATAGTGACCCAGTGGTTGTGTTATCAGTGTTATCTACTAATAATATGCGCATGATAATGTCTATGATCTTAAGAATTGTTTTTATACTGGTTACAAATGGGAATATTCCTGTAACGTAACGAAGAGTGATTTGTGCCATTGTCTTTTTTTAATGTCGATCTCGCTCTTTTACACAAGACCCAACTTTCCATAGCCGCCCCGTGTCTCCACCCCATACTGTTACAGCACCCCAGTCTCCAGTACCACCCCTATCCCGTCCCACCCATTCTCCATTTCCCGCCCAAACCGATAGCCCGACCCCTATCCCTTACCCTTTCTTCTTTACCCTACACCACACCCCTTATCCCGACATCCACCCCTACCCCATGACCCACCCAAGAAAGCCGCCGCCCTACAAAAGTCTGACCCTGACCTTGTCTCTCCCAGGTTCAAGGCCACCAAGACGCCCAACACTGCCCTGGCGGCAGCACGAAGCATCTCACAAGACAGCATCTTCTCGCCCAGTGATCGTGCCGAGATCAGCAGGTTCCCCAAACCTGCGCTATCAGAGGACAGCATACCGCAGTCGGCGTTTCAGGTGGGTTGTCTGTGTGATGGGTGGGTTGTGAGGGTGGGTTGTCTGTGTGATGGGTTGTCTGTGTGAGGGTGGGTTGTCTGTGTGAGGGTGGGTTGTCTGTGTGATGGGTGGGTTGTGAGGGTGGGTTGTCTGTGTGATGGGTTGTCTGTGTGAGGGTGGGTTGTCTGTGTGAGAGTGGATTGTCTGTGTGAGGGTGGGTTGTCTGCGTGAGGGTGGGTTGTCTGCGTGAGGCTGGGTTGTCTGTGTGAGGGTGGGTTGTCTGTGTGAGGGTGGGTTGTCTGTGTGATGGGTGGGTTGTCTGTGTGAGGGTGGGTTGTCTGTGTGAGGGTGGGTTGTCTGTGTGAGGGTGGGTTGTCTGTGTGAGGGTGGGTTGTCTGTGTGAGGGTGGGTTGTCTGTGTGAGGGTGGGTTGTCTGTGTGAGGGTTGTCTGTGTGAGGGTGGGTTGTCTGTGTGAGGGTGGGTTGTCTGTGTGAGGGTTGTCTGTGTGATGGGTTGTCTGTGTGAGGGTGGGTTGTCTGTGTGAGGGTTGTCTGTGTGATGGGTGGGTTGTCTGTGTGAGGGTGGGTGTCTGTGAGGGTTGTCTGTGTGAGGGTGGGTTGTCTGTGTGGGGCTGGGTTGTCTGTGTGAGGCTGGGTTGTCTGTGTGAGGGTGGGTTGTCTGTGTGAGGGTGGGTTGTCTGTGTGATGGTGGGTTGTCTGTGTGAGGGTGGGTTGTCTGTGTGAGGGTTGTGTTGTCTGTGTGAGGGTTGTCTGTGTGAGGGTGGGTTGTCTGTGTGAGGGTGGGTTGTCTGTGTGAGGGTGGGGTTGTCTGTGTGAGGGTGGGTTGTCTGTGTGATGGGTTGTCTGTGTGAGGGTGGGTTGTCTGTGTGAGGGTGGGTTGTCTGTGTGGGGCTGGGTTGTCTGTGTGAGGCTGGGTTGTCTGTGTGAGGGTGGGTTGTCTGTGTGAGGGTGGGTTGTCTGTGTGATGGTGGGTTGTCTGTGTGAGGGTGGGTTGTCTGTGTGAGGGTTGTCTGTGTGAGGGTTGTCTGTGTGAGGGTGGGTTGTCTGTGTGAGGGTGGGTTGTCTGTGTGATGGGTGGGTTGTGAGGGTGGGTTGTCTGTGTGATGGGTTGTCTGTGTGAGGGTGGGTTGTCTGTGTGAGAGTGGATTGTCTGTGTGAGGGTGGGTTGTCTGCGTGAGGGTGGGTTGTCTGCGTGAGGCTGGGTTGTCTGTGTGAGGGTGGGTTGTCTGTGTGAGGGTGGGTTGTCTGTGTGATGGGTGGGTTGTCTGTGTGAGGGTGGGTTGTCTGTGTGAGGGTGGGTTGTCTGTGTGAGGGTGGGTTGTCTGTGTGAGGGTGGGTTGTCTGTGTGAGGGTGGGTTGTCTGTGTGAGGGTGGGTTGTCTGTGTGAGGGTTGTCTGTGTGAGGGTGGGTTGTCTGTGTGAGGGTGGGTTGTCTGTGTGAGGGTTGTCTGTGTGATGGGTTGTCTGTGTGAGGGTGGGTTGTCTGTGTGAGGGTTGTCTGTGTGATGGGTGGGTTGTCTGTGTGAGGGTGGGTTGTCTGTGTGAGGGTTGTTCTGTGTGAGGGTGGGTTGTCTGTGTGGGGCTGGGTTGTCTGTGTGAGGCTGGGTTGTCTGTGTGAGGGTGGGTTGTCTGTGTGAGGGTGGGTTGTCTGTGTGATGGTGGGTTGTCTGTGTGAGGGTGGGTTGTCTGTGTGAGGGTTGTCTGTGTGAGGGTTGTCTGTGTGAGGGTGGGTTGTCTGTGTGAGGGTGGGTTGTCTGTGTGAGGGTGGGTTGTCTGTGTGAGGGTGGGTTTGTCTGTGTGATGGGTTGTCTGTGTGAGGGTGGGTTGTCTGTGTGAGGGTGGGTTGTCTGTGTGGGGCTGGGTTGTCTGTGTGAGGCTGGGTTGTCTGTGTGAGGGGTGGGTTGTCTGTGTGAGGGTGGGTTGTCTGTGTGATGGTGGGTTGTCTGTGTGAGGGTGGGTTGTCTGTGTGAGGGTTGTCTGTGTGAGGGTTGTCTGTGTGAGGGTGGGTTGTCTGTGTGAGGGTGGGTTTGTCTGTGTGAGGGTGGGTTGTCTGTGTGAGGGTGGGTTGTCTGTGTGATGGGTTGTCTGTGTGAGGGTTGTCTGTGTGAGGGTGGGTTGTCTGTGTGAGGGTGGGTTGTCTGTGTGAGGGTGGGTTGTCTGTGTGAGGGTGGGTTGTCTGTGTGATGGGTTGTCTGTGTGAGGGTGGGTTGTCTGTGTGAGGGTGGGTTGTCTGTGTGAGGGTGGGTTGTCTGTGTGAGGGTGGGTTGTCTGTGTGAGGGTGGGTTGTCTGTGTGATGGGTTGTCTGTGTGAGGGTGGGTTGTCTGTGTGAGGGTGGGTTGTCTGTGTGAGGGTGGGTTGTCTGTGTGAGGGTGGGTTGTCTGTGTGATGGGTTGTCTGTGTGAGGGTGGGTTGTCTGTGTGAGGGTGGGTTGTCTGTGTGAGGGTGGGTTGTCTGTGTGAGGGTTGTCTGTGTGAGGGTTGTCTGTGTGAGGGTGGGTTGTCTGTGTGAGGGTGGGTTGTCTGTGTGAGGGTGGGTTGTCTGTGTGAGGGTGGGTTGTCTGTGTGATGGGTTGTCTGTGTGAGGGTTGTCTGTGTGAGGGTGGGTTGTCTGTGTGAGGGTGGGTTGTCTGTGTGAGGGTGGGTTGTCTGTGTGAGGGTGGGTTGTCTGTGTGATGGGTTGTCTGTGTGAGGGTGGGTTGTCTGTGTGAGGGTGGGTTGTCTGTGTGAGGGTGGGTTGTCTGTGTGAGGGTGGGTTGTCTGTGTGATGGGTTGTCTGTGTGAGGGTGGGTTGTCTGTGTGAGGGTGGGTTGTCTCTCACGTCCTCCACGAACAAATGACATGTTCTCTACTATCAAATGACATGTCCTCCACGAACAAATGACATGTTCTCTACTATCAAATGACATGTCCTCCACGAACAAATGACATGTTCTCTACTAGCAAATGACATTTCATCTACTATCAAATGACATGTCCTCTACTATCAAATGGCATGTCCTCTACTATCAAATGACATGTCCTCTACTATCAAATGTCATGTCCTCCCCTATCAAATGTCATCTCCTCTACTATCAAATGTCATGTCCTCCTCTAACAAATGTCATGTCCTCCACAGAGCGAACTGTTGTCTAAGCTGAGCAAGAGGAGATCACTCTACTCTGACGATGATCGTGACGAAGGATTACCCCGCAGTCCCGTGCCTCCGGTCACCACTGCTGACGTCATTATGGGTGGTCCACTAAAGGTTGGTTTACATAGTAACCATAGTAACTACAGACATGAATGTTTTGAATTTCCTGTCTATATTTGTTTGTTCCTCTTTCTTTATCTTTGTCGAAATACAGTAATTGCATTTCCTTTTTTAACTTTGGCTTCTATACTTTATATATAAATAAATATATATATATATATATATATATATATATATATATATATATATATATATATATATATATATATATATATATATATATATATATATATATAAACAAAGGTTTTCTTAAGCTAGTTCGGCTACCACCTCTAATTGATCCTGTTTTAAACTTCGCCCTGCCAGAACACTCCTCCATATACCATCCAATCACGCGCTATTTACAAAGCTGGTCTAGCTAGAGTATATGTCAACCTTGGGCAACAGTCACTACAATTTGGGCAACATCCAACAACTTTTGGGCAACATTCAACAGCGTTTGCGCAACATTCAATACATTTTGGGAAAGTATCGCCAAATTTAGGGAACACGTTGACATAATATCTGCTGTTCCATCCTCTTTTATACTTCACCTTCTGTTAAATTTTCGCATTGACCTCACCATAACCTCCCTCCCCCCCCCCCATACCTTCACCTACACCACCCCCCTCCCGCCCAACTAAGCCCAACTTTCAGCTCCTTGTCTCCGCCATCCACTCGTTCATCAGTTTCTCTAATTATTCGGAAAAAAAATTAATTAATCGACAATTTGTCAAGGGCCATCCTCCGGCGCCTGCTCACAAAGATGAGTGATCAACATGTTTTTGTACTCAGCCCCCGCCGAGTACTCCACCCCCCCTCCACGCACACACATCGCCTGCTTTTGTAGCCAGAACTGAAGCAAATCGAAGGTCTTCTGTAGCGGACCCAATCTGTCGGAAATCACTTCATCACTGGGGGTTGATGTACTTTTTACCATGGGGGTTGGGGGGGGGGGGGTGGTCCGATGTACTATTCACCAGTGTGTGTGTGGGGGGGGGGGGTTGATGTACTATTGACCAATGTGTTTGTGTTGGGGGAGGGGGGTGGTTGATGCACTATTAATCATCATATGGGGTTCGGGGTCGATGGCCTATTGGCCACTTCAGTTTGCAAGACCATGATGTGTATTTCTAGTATCTATTTTCTTGTCTATCCCCCCCCCCTCGTTTTCCGCCAACCTCACTCCTATTCCCCCACACCAGTCATCCACAATTTCTATTCCCCCACACCAGTCAACCCCACCCCACATCAGTCACCCCTAACCACACTCCCACCTCCGCCCCCAACTAGTTATCCTCATCTCCACTTCCCATACAAATTAATTGAAACCCAGATGGTGACAGAACACAAACACGGGCAGTTGCAGTAGAGCTGTCCTAAAGCTTGAAGATCTCACATGTTAGCCCCCCCCCCCCCCCCCCCCCAAACAATCATCACGTTGTTTAAAGTGTCCCGAACAAACACAGTTCCCGTTTGGATGAAAACATGTTAGCTGCATTTTGTTAACTGGACAATAAAGCATCACATCGTCTGTTGTTTCCAGGCCGTATCGCTGGTAGGGTTAGGGCTAAGCTCAAGGACGTACGGTTAGGGCTTGGGTTAGGTACGGTGTTTCTTCCAGACTTTTTTCTCCGGAGGGGGGGGGGGGGGGGTAAAAGTATACGTTTTTATATCGCTCAGAGGGGGGGGGGGACTTTTTCTCAGGGTTTGTTGGGGGGGCCTTTTGGGAGAAACTCTGGTTAGCTATTGTGATATTACGAGATGTTTAACCTCTGTGTCCTAAAAAAAGTTTAAATGACCAAACTTTTTAATAACTTCTTACCCTTTTTTTTTAGCTTAACTCATCCTCTGTTCGGCTTAACACATCCTCTGTTCAGCTCAACTCATCCTCTGTTCAGCTTAATTCGTCATATTTTCAGCTTTTCCAATTTGACTCACCCTTAAAACGAAGTTCACCCTAAGAGGTCAACTATTTTTCTGGCCAATTTTGCGCTTCCCGCTACCCGCACTGTGCCGGGGTTATTTTCAGGTCATGTATTCATAATGACACGAGGGAGTTTTCTCCCTTGATTAGGGTTCGCTCCCCTGGTTACTCAGTGTAGTCTCAATACGAAGTTCATGAGCTGTGCTCATATTTCATCTCACGTGACCTTCATTTCAATAACACGGGCTTTGGTGTCAGCTCTATAAATAGGTTCATCTATTCAAAACACGCTTGGTGCTCTACACATGTTTTTGTGTTGTTTTTAATTACTTTTTTTCTTCCCTTTTTAGGGGTTACATATAAATAGGCTGTTATTTCCAAAGATATGTCACATCTGTTTTTGAAGTGATCTTTATCGTGAATATTTGACAGTTTTTTTTTTTTAAATTTGTTTAACTACGATTTAAAGCTTGCTACATTGACAAAGATGGGGGGAGGGAGGGGGTGATTAATCGTCAAAAACTCGATAAAGTTTATTCCGTTTTGTCATTTTACATCAGGCTCTTTGAAGGAACAATTTCGTCATTTTATTAATCGCGGTGTCGGAACAAATTAATTAGATGGGTGTCTGGGGCACGTTGACCAGGTAGGCCCCGCCTCTAATACGTCTCGTCTCGACTGTTCAAATACCCAGGCTAAAAATTCAAATTTTGCGGTTTAGAATTTTTTTTTTTGCAGAATTTTTATTTATAAAACAACACTTAATAATTAAAAAACAGCTCATTATAAACCATAAACAGCCTTTTATATTTCTCAAAACAGCTCTTTATAATTCATACAACAGCTCTTTGTATTTCATAAAATAGTTCTTCTAGTTCGTAAAATACTTTTTATTGTTCATATTATAACTCTTAATTTGACTATTCCTTGTTTAATGTTTAATTATCTTAATAACGAACTTTTTTTTAACCAAACTAGGCTGCTAACCCGAGAGTCCCGAGTTCTAATCCGGATTATAATCATTAGAACGTTCCCGAGTCCACCCAGCTCTGATGGGTACCTAACTCACGTTAGGGAAACAAAGGCAGCTGGGCATAGTACTGACCACTTTATCCCCTTGTATGCCGAGGTCATTGAAACAGATCAACTCTACTTGACCTGCCCTATGTGTCTTGGGCACAAACGGGAAACGCTGATGATGATCTTTGAACCAAACGGACATATACGTGTGTAAATATGTCTTGTTAACAGTGTTTCTTCCACACATTTTTGTCTGCAGAGGGGGGGGGGGGGCACTTGAAATTTTCGGGGAAGCGGACTAACATTTCCGGGGGGCGGACGACACTGGTAAAATTATATATTTTCTATATAAATTCCATTTCGTTCGGGGGGGGGGGGGGGGGGGGTAGATGCCTGCTTGTTAAGATCTAGGCTGAGACCAGTTGAAGATATCCAGGTCTGAGAGCCTTGCCGTGATTGACAGCCAGACACAAACCACCCACGATCGTGGTCCAAGCTAATTAATAATCAGCCTTGATTAAGTGGCTGTAATCAGACGTGCGGATCAATAGAGGTGGTTTGTTAGCGTCTTGTGGCGACTTTCTTGGGTTGTTAGCGTCTTGTGGCGACTTTCTTGGGTTGTTAGCGTCTTGTGGCGACTTTCTTGGTTTGTTAGCGTCTTGTGGCGACTTTCTTGGTTTGTTAGCGTCTTGTGGCGACTTTCTTGGTTTGTTAGCGTCTTGTGGCGACTTTCTTGGTTTGTTAGCGTCTTGTGGCGACTTTCTTGGGTTGTTAGCGTCTTGTGGCGACTTTCTTGGGTTGTTAGCGTCTTGTGGCGACTTTCTTGGTTTGTTAGCGTCTTGTGGCGACTTTCTTGGGTTGTTAGCGTCTTGTGGCGACTTTCTTGGGTTGTTAGCGTCTTGTGGCGACTTTCTTGGGTTGTTAGCGTCTTGTGGCGACTTTCTTGGGTTGTTAGCGTCTTGTGGCGACTTTCTTGGGTTGTTAGCGTCTTGTGGCGACTTTCTTGGGTTGTTAGCGTCTTGTGGCGACTTTCTTGGGTTGTTAGCGTCTTGTGGCGACTTTCTTCAGTTGTTAGCGTCTTGTGGCGACTTTCTTGGGTTGTTAGCGTCTTGTGGCGACTTTCTTGGGTTGTTAGCGTCTTGTGGCGACTTTCTTGGTTTGTTAGCGTCTTGTGGCGACTTTCTTGGGTTGTTAGCGTCTTGTGGCGACTTTCTTGGGTTGTTAGCGTCTTGTGGCGACTTTCTTGGGTTGTTAGCGTCTTGTGGCGACTTTCTTGGGTTGTTAGCGTCTTGTGGCGACTTTCTTGGGTTGTTAGCGTCTTGTGGCGACTTTCTTGGGTTGTTAGCGTCTTGTGGCGACTTTCTTGGGTTGTTAGCGTCTTGTGGCGACTTTCTTGGGTTGTTAGCGTCTTGTGGCGACTTTCTTGGGTTGTTAGCGTCTTGTGGCGACTTTCTTGGGTTGTTAGCGTCTTGTGGCGACTTTCTTGGGTTGTTAGCGTCTTGTGGCGACTTTCTTGGGTTGTTAGCGTCTTGTGGCGACTTTCTTGGGTTGTTAGCGTCTTGTGGCGACTTTCTTGGGTTGTTAGCGTCTTGTGGCGACTTTCTTGGGTTGTTAGCGTCTTGTGGCGACTTTCTTGGGTTGTTAGCGTCTTGTGGCGACTTTCTTGGGTTGTTAGCGTCTTGTGGCGACTTTCTTGGGTTGTTAGCGTCTTGTGGCGACTTTCTTGGGTTGTTAGCGTCTTGTGGCGACTTTCTTGGGTTGTTAGCGTCTTGTGGCGACTTTCTTGGGTTGTTAGCGTCTTGTGGCGACTTTCTTGGGTTGTTAGCGTCTTGTGGCGACTTTCTTGGGTTGTTAGCGTCTTGTGGCGACTTTCTTGGGTTGTTAGCGTCTTGTGGCGACTTTCTTGGGTTGTTAGCGTCTTGTGGCGACTTTCTTGGGTTGTTAGCGTCTTGTGGCGACTTTCTTGGGTTGTTAGCGTCTTGTGGCGACTTTCTTGGGTTGTTAGCGTCTTGTGGCGACTTTCTTGGGTTGTTAGCGTCTTGTGGCGACTTTCTTGGGTTGTTAGCGTCTTGTGGCGACTTTCTTGGGTTGTTAGCGTCTTGTGGCGACTTTCTTGGGTTGTTAGCGTCTTGTGGCGACTTTCTTGGGTTGTTAGCGTCTTGTGGCGACTTTCTTGGGTTGTTAGCGTCTTGTGGCGACTTTCTTGGGTTGTTAGCGTCTTGTGGCGACTTTCTTGGGTTGTTAGCGTCTTGTGGCGACTTTCTTGGGTTGTTAGCGTCTTGTGGCGACTTTCTTGGGTTGTTAGCGTCTTGTGGCGACTTTCTTGGGTTGTTAGCGTCTTGTGGCGACTTTCTTCAGTTGTTAGCGTCTTGTGGCGACTTTCTTCAGTTGTTAGCGTCTTGTGGCGACTTTCTTGGGTTGTTAGCGTCTTGTGGCGACTTTCTTAAGTTGTTAGCGTCTTGTGGCGACTTTCTTGGGTTGTTAGCGTCTTGTGGCGACTTTCTTGGTTTGTTAGCGTCTTGTGGCGACTTTCTTAAGTTGTTAGCGTCTTGTGGCGACTTTCTTAAGTTGTTAGCCGAGCGGTCCACTGTAGCTAGTGGTCCGCTGTAGCTAGTGGTCAAGGTGGGGGGGGGGGGGGGGGGAGAAAATAGTGTGGAAATTAATTTGTTAAAGTGGGGGGAATAGTAAGGGCGTCGATTTTTCAAGGTGGGGGGGGTAGTGTGGGCGTCAATTTGGTAAAGGTGGGGGAGTAATAGTACAAGCAACCATTTGTCAAGGGGGTTTGGGAGGGGGATAGTGTGGGCGTCAATTTGTTAAGGTGGGGGATGGTTTGGGCGCCAATTTCTCAAGGTGAGGGGGGGGGGGAATAGTAAGGGCGTCCATTAGTCGATGTGGGGGATAGTGTGGGCGTCAGTCTGTGAGAGGACTGTGGGCGTCAGTCAGACGCGGCGCCGTATTGAAGAGATTCCTGCCTGTAAAAGATACGTATCACGATACACCATTTTAGGTTTAAGTTACCACTTGAAGGTCATTGACCGGACGTGAATTTCCCTAAATTGACAAGAAAGTAATTAATTGGTCGACGTTGTATAATGTAAGCTAGATTCACAGTTTCGATATAGGTCTAGGTCTAGTCAAGATGTATCATGATGTATCATGAATGCTAACAATAAAATCAATAAATGTAAAAAAGTAATGTCTTAGGTTAAAAAAAAAAGAAATATTTAGAATGTATACCATGTCTCTCTATAAAGAGAAAAATGTGACGTCACGTATAGTAGCTGTAACTAAAGTGGCCTGGGTCAGACTGTATGCGCGCGCATGTCCACGGCGTTGAGATGAGTCACGTCCCCTTGTGAGTCGGTAGTGCTTGAATGAATGTACGTGAGATCTCAATTGGCGATAGCTCCTGGCCATTCAAGGGCAGCGAAGCAGAAGCTATTGGCGCCCCGAGCATCGATTAAATGTAAAGAAAAGATTTGTTGATGATGTAATTATAAAATGGCGTCAATCTCCTTTGTCTAAATGCTACGGTGGAATCGAACTTGCATCTGCTGAGAATTATTATACTTTCGATTATATTTTGATCCACAAGATTTAATTTAAAATTATTGGAAAAAAATATTATAAAAGCCATGTGGGGGTGATAGGCTCTATAATCAATAATTGTAACCAAGGTTGTGATGTTGGATAAACCGTATCACAAGGTATTAACCCTAACCTGAACCTTAGTTTACAGGCCCTTAGAATTAGCTCTCAAACTAACATTAGCTTTACTATAGAAAGAACGTGATATGTAAAATCTACATCTTAATTTAAACCTAACCTTGAAATATCAAAACACAACCTAACTCAAACCAAATCCCCAGCCACATGTAAAAAGCTACAACCTTGACTTTAATCTAACCTTAATCTAGCCTTAACCTTTATCCTTACCCATTATCGTGTTCTTTGAGCTCTGCCCCCCCCTCCCCACACACACACACACACACATTCCAACACTTGCCCAGCAGAAGATATCCCCAGCAGACGACATAAAACCCACTCCACTCTGCTTCCCTCGCACTTTCGTTTTCAGTGAGTATCAAAGGCTTAGCTCTTGATAGGAATAATAAAAACTACACCCCCTTCCCTCACACACACCCGCTCACCCCCCCCCCCCCTCCCCCACACCCACACACACCCCACACCCTTACAGACAAAAAAAACCTGCTCGCCTTTACATGTCATTTATAGCCCCTGTGAGTAAGCTCCCCTTGCTCGTTGAGTCACGGAGAGTTACGGCCCTTGAACGCACCCGTTATCTCCCCTTCTTCACCCCCGTGACGCCCCCCGACACGACGGGAACCGAACAAAGAAGGTTAACGACACGACAACGTGGGTTCAATTAAAATTTATTTCAGCAGAGCCAGGAGAATAAAAAAAAAATAATCTGCGTAAAACATATCAAGAAAGACATCTTAGCTCTAAACTTTTTTTTTGTGTCTTTGTTGCGTGTGGATGCTGTTAATGTTGAGGGGCGTGCGGGGAGGACATTGATTGTAGAACTCTTGATACAGGGGAGGTAGGAAATCTGCGGCTATTGATGAACGCTGTGACGTCATGAGCAGCTTCTTTACTGTGGGATCAATACGTAATAGTGCTGACCTATTTTACGGGGGGTATGTGGTGTAGATTTGAAGACATGTATCACAGTGTATCTCATGGGGATGTTGTCGTTTTATGTATGGTAAGGTTGGGTGAAATAGGATTTGGGTAGCGCACAGCACGCCACACACCACATTGTTTTGTCACACAGCCACATTGTCACGCAGCCACAATCCTGTGGATGACACGCGTATAGTAAAAAACTCAACTTGATCACCCAGCCACATTGTCACGCAACCACATTGTCACACAGCCACATTGTCACACAGCCACATTGTCACACAACCACATTGTCACACAACCACATTGTCACACAACCACATTGTCACGCAACCACATTGTCACACAGCCACATTGTCACACAACCACATTGTCACACAACCACATTGTCACACAGCCACATTGTCACACAACCACATTGTCACACAACCACATTGTCACACAAACACATTGTCACATAACCACATTGTCACACAACCACATTGTCACACAACCACATTGTCACACAACCACATTGTCACACAACCACATTGTCACACAAACACATTGTCACATAACCACATTGTCACACAACCACATTGTCACACAACCACATTGTCACACAAACACATTGTCACATAACCACATTGTCACACAACCACATTGTCACACAACCACATTGTCACACAACCACATTGTCACACAACCACATTGTCACACAACCACATTGTCACACGGCCACATTGGCCACATTGTCACATAACCACATTGTCACACAGCCACATTGTCACACAACCACATTGTCACACAAACACATTGTCACATAACCACATTGTCACACAACCACATTGTCACACAACCACATTGTCACACAACCACATTGTCACACAAACACATTGTCACATAACCACATTGTCACACAACCACATTGTCACACAACCACATTGTCACACAACCACATTGTCACACAACCACATTGTCACACAACCACATTGTCACACAGCCACATTGTCACACAGCCACATTGTCACACAAACACATCATTTTGTCACACAACCACACCATCTTACCACACATCCACATTGATGATTGAGTCGATATTTCTCCTTTAGTACGCCACGACTAAACAATTTGTTTCTGTAAAAATCTATCATCTCACCCCTCCCACCCACCCCCACCCCTCTCTGCCAGTTACATAAATGTCAATAAATCTTTACCGCATGACGCTGTGTCATCGGGTACTTGACTTGTACAGGACAAATTCCTGCGTACATCTCACACATGTACATGGGTGTGAACATCTTCAACCTGTGCATGGGTGTGTACATCTTCAACCTGTACATGCGTGTGTACATCTTCAACCTATACATGCGTGTGTACATTTTCACCTCTGTACAATGTTGTGTACTCAAACGAGCTACATTCGTGTACACATACGTGTACAAGTTGTACAACGTACACGTCCTTGGTCATCTGGGTTTAGCAAACCAAATCACCCGAACTTAGCCAATTTAAGTTTAGCCAGTAGAAATTAGCCTATCAAACCTTAACCAACAGAACTTAACCAATGTAACCCTATCCAGTCATATTTTAGAACGTGAGCCAGGTTTTAGCCCGTCGGCATTTAAAATACTCCAATTTTAGCCTTGATAACTTTGTCCTACAAACGTTAGCCTAGCCATTCAAACGTTAGCCTAACCTTCCAAATTTAGCCTAATAAGCCAAATTTAACCTAATAAGCCAAATTTTAGCCTAGCCATCTAAATTTAGCCTAGCCAGCCAAACTAAAGCTTAGGCAGCCAAACTCTAGCCCATCCAGCAAAAAACTTAGCCTAGCCAGACAAGTATATTTTGGTTTGCAATTCATCCAAATTTTCTCGGACTTGACACTGGCCACCATAACAGTCTGACGTCACCGAAGCAATTAGTAACCTAACCCCGCCTCTATCTCTCTCCTCCCCATCCCTATTTTCTGCACTCATCAACAAAATCCAACTCCCACCACCTTCTGCACGCAGCATCTAGGAAAAGCTAACTCTTTGTTTAAATATGGAGAAAGCTCATAATTGTCTCCCTTAAGATGTATTGATTTTTGTTTCGCTTTCTGCAAGTTTGATATTTTGTTATTCCAGTCTGGGCCGTCAGACAAGAAGTCCAGTAACAGAGACTCGGACCAGAGTTTGATCAGTGTGGACGGCTCAGAGAACGAGGAGGTTAGTACGTCTACCTACTTTTGAAATTTGAAATTAAACAGCAAAAAAAGCTTACAATAGAATTTTTATTACCGACCATTTTTGCAGGAATTAGACCTATTTCAGATTAACCCTTTTAAAAAAGAAATATTTATTTTTTGACAATTTTGTTTCTAATATTTATTTCAGACAAAAAAGTTTAAAATAGAAATATATCTTTTTGTTTTTTGACAATTTTGTTTTGTAGAATTTAATTTTGCCAAAAATAGTTTTTAAAAATAATTTTTTTTTGACAATTTTGTTTATAGGATTTATTTCAAACCAATTGGAAGAAGTCTGTCCCCGCGAAAATATCTGGGAGTGAGCAGAAAAAAGGGAAGAAATCTGAAGGTGAGTTATGGTTTTTTTTAATATGGTATGCTGGGTACTCATATTATGCTGAGTTAACAAAAATAAGAAATTTAAAACAGATGAGAAAAATAGATGAGGCTGGTGGACTGAATATGAAAATAGCTTAAAGTCAAGTCCAAAGAAGTAATGCCAACATGGGACTGGTAGTGCTAGTAGGCTAATAAAAAAAACCTAGTTACTTTTCCTTCACCCCCACCCAAACCTCCACCCTGGTATCACTTTGACCACAGGACTGCCCTGACCTTGACCTGTAGGTGACTCATGTAACCCCCAGCCAAACTGCTGCACTTGTTTCAGTCTCTGACTGGCATGTAATCAATAGCCATCCCAGTACAGGGACCAGCAATCTCACCCCCTTACCCCCACCCCCCCCCCACACCCCAGTCTTCCCCTCAACCACCCACCCATACCCCCACCCCCATTACAGTCTTCCCACCCCCTTACCCCCCACCTGACATAAGTCTTCCCACCCCCTTCGACCACCCACCCAACAGTCTTTCCACCCACCCACACCCATACCCCCCCCCCCCCCCAACAGCACCCCAACCCCCCTCATCCACTCACCCCACAACAGTCTTCCCACCCACCCCTCCAACAGCATCCCAACCCCCTCATCCACTCACCCCACAACAGTCTTCCCACCCCTTACCCACACCCCACATAAGTCTTCCCACCCCCTCAACCACCCACCCCACCCCATCCCCCTAAACACCCTGCCTAAAAAACTACACATCATTTCTTTTGAAAAATACATTCAACGTTTGTCATATGTTAGTAAAATGTATATCTATAACTGTATAAAAACTGTATGCATAATTTTAATGCTATCTGCCGTATGTTTAGTACAATAATTTATGGACTAATTTATCAAGCACGCCAATGTTATTAAAATCTTTTGGATAATTCTATCACTGTGTGCCTTATGTTAGTAATAACTATTGGACAATTTGTCATTATCCGTCATATGTTAATGCAGACTAAACGGATAACTTTATCACCAGCAGCTGGCATGGATCAACTGGATTTTAGCAGCATCCAGAAGACAGAGGTCCTGGATAATGCCGGAGCCAAGGACCGGATTTCTTTGAAGCCCAAGACACGGAAGGCGAGTAGGCAGTCACGGAAAAACAGAGACGTAAGTACATGCTGGCTTCTGTGTAGTCAGTTCTGGTTTCTGTGTAGTCAGTTCTGGCTTCTGTGTAGTCAGTTCTGGTTTCTGTGTAGTCAGTTCTAGCTTCTGTGTAGTCAGTTCTGGCTTCTGTGTAGTCAGTTCTGGTTTCTGTGTAGTCAGTTCTAGCTTCTGTGTAGTCAGTTCTGGCTTCTGTGTAGTCAGTTCTGGTTTCTGTGGAGTCAGTTCAGGCTTCTGTGTAGTCAGTTCTGGTTTCTGTGTAGTCAGTTCTGGCTTCTGTGTAGCCCTGGCTTCTGTGTAGTCAGTTCTGGTTTCTCTGTAGTCAGTCCTGGCTTCTGTGTAGTCAGTTCTGGCTTCTGGGTGGTCAGTTCTGGCTTCTGTGTAGAAAGTTCTGGCCTCTGTGTAGTCTGTTCTGGATTCTGTGTAGTCAGTCCTGGCTTCTGTGTAGTCAGTTCTGGCTTCTGGGTGGTCAGTTCTGGCTTCTGTGTAGAAAGTTCTGGCCTCTGTGTAGTCTGTTCTGGATTCTGTGTAGTCAGTTCTGGCTTCTGTGTAGAAAGTTCTGGCCTCTGTGTAGTCTGTTCTGGCTTCTGTGTAGTCAGTCCTGGCTTCTGTGTAGTCAGTTCTGGTTTCTGTGTAGTCAATTCTGGCTTCTGTGTAGTCAGTTCTGGTTTCTGTGTAGTCAGTCCTGACTCTCTGTTGTCAGTTTTTTGTTTAGCTAAGAGTTTTTCTGTAGTAATTGGGTTAGCTGATGGCTTGTCAATAGTCAGTGGTTAAGTTAGGCAACATTTGGTAACATTCATATGCCTAACTATTTAAAACAGTCACTGGACCATAAATTTGTGGATTATTTTGGTTAAACAAGTAGTGTAATTCATTGGACCATACATTTGTGGGTTTGTTGGATTAGCAGCTGTCTAACAAACTAAAACTTTGACTTACTAGAGCATAAATTTGGGGTTTTATACATTTTGGGCCTCAAACTAAATGTATATACTGGAATTTAACAACTAACCTAATTTATAATGTGTTTTCTTGAAATGAAGGTTAGCATTATTTTTAATCAACTGACCTAATTTATAATGTGTTGTCTCCAAATGTAGGTCAGCACGACGCAGTCCCTACCTAGCCTGAACGAAGAGTCACCTACAAGAACAATCTCTGAGATCAACTACCCACAAGGTATTTTCAACTCACAACTTTGTAATAGAAACAACATTTATTTGTTAAACATTATGGATGAAAACAACTTTTGATCTAAATTATAAACTCAGTTCCAAACCAAATAATTGTTTTACATTTTTGGTTTGATATGAATTAGTTTTATCATAAACTAAAGTTGTCAATTTCAGAACTCATGCACACACAAAAAAAATTATACTTATCGTTTTTTATAGATTACTTGCATGTATGGATGGATGTATATTTTGTATCTCATATTATTCTTTGTTTTTTTCAGAAGTTCCTCTAACCCCAGGTAGCCAGAAGGTAGCCTTGACCCCAACAGAAGACACGCCTGCTCCTGCTGTAGTTGCAGAGGTCAAGGCCACAAACATTGGGAAGCTAAACTTAGCCTCTATCAACACCAGTTCCAAGGGAGACAAAACTACAGTTACCTCCCCTACTTCATCAACCAACGGCTCTAAAGTCTCCACCCCCACATCGCCAACCGCTAAATCAGGGCCAACACCGGGGCCGAAGTTTGCTGGCTCCACCATCATCACCACCCACGGCCAGTCTAGTCCTGTCAGAACTGAGAGTCCAGTCGTCCAGGAGAAGCCTTTTGTTGACCCCAGTTTCAACAATAAATATCTGGATGTAACGTCGCTTCAGAAAGATAAAGGGGAAGATAAGCCAGTCAAAGAAATTCACGCTCCGCAGTTTGAAGAAAACATGACCATGAGTAAGAGCCCCTCTCTTGAGGCATCGTTAAAAGTCTCGGACCCTGACTCCAATGTCACCATGTCTCCTAAAGAGGACTATAAGCAAAGGCGTCAAGGTCGCAGCAAGACCCTGCCCGTGAACACGGAGGACCAGGTCTCACCCCGCGTCCAGCGTGCCAACTCCCACAGAGTCCAGTCATCAAACTCTCCGGAACATTCCGTTTCCCCGCCCCTCTCCCTACCAGTGGATAAAACTCTCCCTGCAGTAAAAAAACTGGATAACACAAAATTCGGATCTCTTGACTCCACTGCGGATCTCATGTGGCTTGAGAGAGTCCGCAAGAAACAGGAAGAAGAAAATAGCCGGTCTGCTTCGTTTGATTCCCCAGTCACAACCAGCAAGCCTGCAGCGAACTTAAACGCACCCAAATCTGTGTTTTCCTCGGCCAGTTATCTTGAAAAGAAACGCGGAAGTATTGAAACTATTTCTGTTAAAACTCGTGACGGGGCGGAAAGTGTAAAAAAACAAGACAGCTTGAGTTCTGACACTAAAACAAATCAGCCAAGCTCTGATACTGTTTTGGCGCGTAAAGAGAGTTTTGATATTGAGCTCACTGATGTTTCAGTAAAACCAACCAAAAGCTCCTTCTCCGCAAACAGAGTTGACTATGTGAAGCCTGTTGGCCAGAAAGACGTCAAGGTGTCCGTGCCTTCGGTAGACAGAGCTAAACTGTTGTACGGTTCTCAGTCGATGGCTTCCCTCAACACGGTGAAACCATCTCCCAACATGCATCAGGAGCCGGGGGTGGAGGAGACCCCCAAACCATCTGGCATCAGCCATTTCAAAAGTGGCAGCATCAAATCATCGCCCGTCAAGACAGCGGATAGTAGTGCCACAGGACCCAGCAAGGCACCGTTGTCTGTCACTTCCTCTATGGGTTTCAAGATGTCGTCAGCGTCATCCGGTTCCAACAAACTGAACAAAGCCGACATGGGCTGGATAAAGGATAACCACGGACAATCCTCAGATCCAGCTGTGACCACTGCCCCCCACTCTGCTTCACCTGCTGCCACAGCCGCGGTAACCTCGACCACTGCCAGCAAACCTCTCCCTAGTACCCACCCTACCCCCTTTGCTTTTACTCCTAAACCTATTAGCAGTGTCATCCCACCCGCTTCGAAACCTGCAAACTCCCCCACCTCCCCACCCACTGTTGCTTTTGGTGTCAAACCCTCTAGTTTTAAAGCTTTGTCCTCTGATACGGCAAATGTTTCATCTACCTTATCATCATCCTCATCATCCTCTGTAGTCACCCCTTCATCGTCCTCAACCCAAACATCATCTGTACCATCATCTACCCCCTCATCAACATCTAGCACATCAATATCCCAATCTCGTCCTAGCTCCACACGTACCCCCTCCACTTTCACATCCTCATCTATATCCAAACCCCAAGTTTCGAACTCTAACCCTTCCGTCTCCTCTCGTTCAACCACCATCACAACCTCTCCCTCCTTTAAGTCAACTGCCAAACCGGCACAGGATGAAAAGAAACCGGTTTTGGACGTGAAGAAACCGGTTTTGGAGGAGAAGAAGTCTGAAAGTGCTGTGCCAGCCTGGCGGTCAAGCATCCCCAAACCTGAAGTGCCCAAGGCTGAGGTCAAGATAGAAATCATTGAAAAATCTTCCCAGAGTAACGCAGATCTTCTCAGGAAGACTGCGGACAAGACCAATCTATCTGTTAAGGTATAAGCGCTTAGAACATCAAAATCTATGCTCTGTCTATCGTGAGCTCTTATTTTAACTCAATCTCAGCTCTGTCTAACTCTAGGCTCTTAGTCCATGTCATTCAGTCACCAGCTAAGCTCATTTCATTAAACTGTAAGCTCCAAATCATCTCGCCTTTAAGAGCTGACCATGATGCAATACTGGTTGTCTTGTACCATAATGTTGTTTTGTCATTTTATCTTTTAGATTTATTTCATTTATTCCTATAATGTAGTTTTTAACAATTTTCTTTATGAGAGACACTTGGTAACATGGGTTACAGATTGAACCTGTCATGTAAATTATCTACTGTCGCTTAACCCCTAAAGCTGTATTTCAAGTTGTTGTTTTTTTTTCAACTATACTGACTGTACACATTTAGCTAATCAAAGTGTTTTGGGTGGATTTTATTCTTACACTTGTGAAATATTAAATCTGAATACAATTTTAGTTCAAAAACCTCCCCTAACAATTTAGAGAAAATCAGTTTTTAAAAGGCTATTTTTAGACAATTATCTTAGCATATGAATTAGTGGAAACCAGTAGCCTGCTAAGTTTCACCACGTGCCAAAATTATTTACAGTCGTTAATTTAGATTGAGACTTCATTAAAATTGATCCACTATAAGTAGTAATGATATAAATAAACGCTTTCAAAAACTGTTTAATTTGCTTATTCAGGCTGGGATTTTAGTATAAAATTATTAAAGTTAGATAACTCTTTTTTATGCAGGGACATCCCTTTCTCCCAGATCATATAAACAACAGCTCACAATTTGTAACAGTGTAGTGGGTTTTGTTCCCACATATTTTTCTATTTCTTTGGTCTTTGGTTTTATTTTTATTTTCCTGGTGAAGTTTAATTCATTTTGTTAAATTTTAACATGTAAATTTTCTCAATTATTAAGCAGACATTTTATGCAAATTTAATTAGCTTTAAACAATTTTTTTTTAAAATTAATTTCTGAAAATGAAATTAAACATTTTTTTTTCCAATCCTATTTAAATATTTTAATGACATAAATTATTTGTTAAATATTAAATTATTAAATGAATTTCTTACATTTTAAATTTCTAACAAAAAAAAACAACACAAAGTATTCTTTTTTTAATTAATTTTTTTTATATATAAAATTGATCTTAAGGCTAAACAGTGAATTTATAATTGTTTACCGAAAGTGATTGAAGTTTATTGTACTAGATCAAAAAGGCCTATGTATGCTTTAAAAACCAACAGAGATAACACTACAGCTAAATACCTCAACTAACATTGTTTTCTGATTTTCTCCTGTAGAAAAATGACTCGTCATCATCCACCATGGGCTCCAAGTTATCCTCAGAAAGCTCATCCAACAGAAGTTCCAGAGTCTTGGACATGGTCAAAAACTTCCAGAGCCATCAAGTCTCCACCTGAACCAGATGTCCACTGGGAGAACAAAATGTCATCAAGTGCTCACCTATTCCAGAATTTTCCTGGCGTTAGAAAAATCTTATGGCTGATAAGCACATTCCAGTGTTACAAAATATTTTAGTTTCAGGACCACAAAAATATATTTTGGACCATAAATAGTTGGACCACAATTATATGGACCAAAAATATTTGGACCACAATCATTTGGTCCGTAAATATTTGTACCATAATTTTTAATCAGTTTTTAAAAAATGAAATAAATATTTTTTCATTTATGTTATCATGTAACTGAATGGGCATATTTTGTGATACCTGATGAGAATTGTGAATGTTTATGTGAACATTTATCACTGACACACATTCACGAAATTACTGAAATTCATAACTGAAAATTGTTTCAGTTGAACTAACTATGCTGTTGAATTAGAACAAAATGGTCATTACAGATTGATTTCTTTTAACCCGCTCATTAATTTTAATTGTACCCCATCTAGGAATTTAATGTGGAAAAAAAAATGTTGAATTGTTAGGGAGAAATTGTGATTTCTGCTTCAAGCTGATAGCCTACCTGGCAAAACCGTGGCATTTAAATCAACATGCAATTGCTTCAAAGTCTAGCCAGAGTGACTATTTCACATTAAAACCCATTATAATAGAAAGCCACAAATCTTGCCTGTTTCGGAGTAGATTAAATGAGGTCGAAGTTAGACCAAGACAATTATTGTAAACAGAAAATATATTTGTAATATTATTGGAGTTTTCATGCTTTGCTATACTTTCAGTGCTTAAAACAAAACATTCCAATTTTATTTTTTTATTTGTCTATATGTAAAAAAACAGTTTTAACAAATGTATAAGCAGAAATTATAAACCGCTATTATTAGCACAATACTCAGCTTTGAACAGCTGCAATGCTTGACAAGAAATATTTTTTGAAAATTTATTCTTAACTTGTAAAATATTTTACTATGTGGATTGTTCAGTTTTCAAACATTATTTTATAAAAATTATGAACTTAATTTATTTCCCAGCTTGTAGCTTTGGTGCTTGAATATGAATTTAAAAATACCTTAATAGATACAGAAATGAGTTTTTACCTTGACCTAAAGTTAGAGGTGTATTTTAAACTTTATGACACAAGGGAGATAACTCCTTGAGATATCCAGTTAAATGCTTGGCATTGGAGCATTTATAAAGTTGAATGTTAGTTGTTTTTTTCTGTGGCTTTTTTACATGAAAGTTTAATGCATGTGTTGTCCTGAATAATCATTGTTGTCATAGCAACCACTGTTTACATGAGAACTTTTTAAGAGAACAAAAAATAACATTGTAAACTTTAAGTTTTATCATAGTGTTCATTGTTCATTTGGTGAAACTTACAGTTCAGCTATGTTGATTAGATACCTGTTTTGGTTTAGCCGTGTTAAATGATATCATAATACCTCCTCTTCAACATGACCCCCAACCCATCATGTGACCCCACCCCATCATGTGACCCCACCCCATCATGTGACCCCACCCCATCCTGACCCCATCCCAGCATGACCTTAACCTAGAATGACCAACATCATCTTATCCACAGGCCAACTTAAACATGCTAGAACATACAGAACATACAAAATAAAATACATACCCATAGCATAATTACATCCATATATGCCCCCCCCCCCCAACCTGGCACATAACCTCAGTCACTCTTTATTAGCTACCCTCAAAAAATTATCAGGTTACATAATCATAGATCTCCATACAATTGTCTAAGGTAGTCACACACACATAGAACCTTACCTCACATAACCGCACACACTCATAAATACACCCCCACATAACCCTATCCCCTTCATAACCACACCCAAATAACTCTTACCCTACATTACCACATTCAATATAACCCTACTCTCACATAAAACAACCCCCCACTTAACCACACCCAATATAACCCTACCAACAGATAAACCACACACCCAACTTAACCACATGCAACATATCAGCACACCACATGACCACACCCCACATAACCTCACCCATGACCCCACCCCCCACATAACCCCACCTCCCACATGATCCCACCCCCCACATGACCCCACCCCCCCACATGACCCCACCCCCACATGACCCCACACCCCCACATGACCCCACCCCCCACATGACCCCACACCCCCACATGACCCCACCCCCCACATGACCCCACCCCCGACATGACCCCACCCCCCCACATGACCCCACCCCCCACATGACCCCACCCCCCACATGACCCCACCCCCCCCCCCCCCCCCCCCCCACATGACCCCCCCCCCCCACATCCCCTCCAAATGTTACTCTGTGTATATGTTTCACTTGAAACCTTTCTACCATTTAAGCCTTAAGTTTTGTCAGGTACCTGTTTCATTCACATCTATTCATGTTGTGTGTATGCTTTATAACACTTCTATTTTATAAATGTGTGTATGCTGTATAACACTTCTACTTTATATATGAGTGTATGCTGTATAACACTTCTACTTTATACATGAGTGTATGCTTTATAACACTTCTATTTTATAAATGTGTGTATGCTGTATAACACTTCTACTTTATATGTGAGTGTATGCTGTATAACACTTCTACTTTATACATGAGTGTATGCTCTATAACATTTCTACTTTATAACTGGTCTTCTCAGTGTTATTGTTCAATTGTAAATAACATTTTTCTTGTTAAATGTTCTATTACCAAATAATGTAAGCGGCTACGTGGCTAGTGGCTAAGTTAAGTTTCTTCACAAACATAAGAACGTAACCACATAACCACATAATAATCATCACATATCCACAGCACTAATAAATAAATATTATCCACGGCATATTAATAGATACACATATCCATAGAACATTAATATTTATCAATGGATATTCACTGCATATGAATAGCCAATATTGCTGCCACCATCAGTTTAAACAAAACAATTTTCAGGACAAATGTTACATAGTAAACAGTAACACAGTATCACAATCATCAAGTTATATTATAAAAAAAAACACGATAAAAATAACAATTTAACATTAGAAATCACACATTACCAAAATCCGGTTAACTTCAGAAAATACACCAAATGTTATACATTAATTTTAATCAGCACAACAGGTCATTAGTATTGAAGCAGAGCAATAAATGTAAATGAGTTGACCAATCAAGCAATACATTTGGGAAGTGTTCATTAAAAAACATATACTTTAAGAATTTGACCAATTCTTACTCTGGTCATATTTATTCTATATTCTCCTGTACAATTGTTTTGACTTTATTCCCAAACAGTGCTGTATTCCCATAATAGTCGTATGTTGTTGTTTTTTATTCAGGATGATTCTATGAGATGTATGTTATTTGTTCTGTATAATTTAGAAAACATAAGGATGTCTAACTTGATAATGAGAGATAACTCACAGCTAATTGTAAATTTATCAAGGGAATTAAGTCTTGATATACTGGTAGGAAAGTTAATTTGTATTAAACTGACATTGAATAATTTCTAGTTTCACCTGTAGAATTTAGTTTAATAAAATATTGGTGATTTTTTGTTTCTTAAACTTTTAAACTAATTTCCTTGTATTTTCCCCAATATTTTACAGGAAAACTTTCAACTAATCTGGCTTTAACTGCCTTTTACCTGTTCTAACTGGTTGCCATGTTATATTCATTTCCTGCAAAATTAAAACTATCTCCTGTATAAATAGATACAAATATTGTACATAATATTAAAATTATTAAAATTATTAAATTAAGATTTTTGTCTATATATTTTGGCAATGGGCTTTTTAGCTTATTTCCTTAAGATTGATTATCCCAGAAGATGTGTGTACAATGAGTCAGTTGATTTGATTTTGTACATACAAGCAGAAGTGTACAGTCTGTTTGATTCCAAGCATAAACACATCGTGCTGTAGCTGTGTGGGGGGCAGATGTGAAGGACAGACGACCAAGTTGAGATGTGAGTGAATAAAATAGATGTACATCTGCTCATGTCTTGCTCTTTCTTCTGTGTGAACTACGTGTGCTGTAGTAGGAATGATGTATGTAAACTGTCTGAAATACTGCTCAACGCTACTTAGTACCAGTGGCGTAGCGAGGTCGGGTGTCACCCGGTGCGGCACTTAATGGTGTCACCCCCCCCCCCCCCCCAGAGCCGTAGCGACCCTTCCCGGAGACAAACTTTCAAATTTTCGATTTACACCCCCCCCCCTCAAGTTTTTCTCTATATATTTTGCTATTTTTTTTACCTTGGTGTCACCCCCCTAAATGGTGTCACCCGGTGCGGTCCCCGCCCCCCCCCCCTTGCTACGCCCCTGAGATCAGGATCTAGTTCTCAGTGTTTCTTCCAGACTTTTATCTCCGGGGGAGGGGGGGGGGGCGGCGAACACAGTTAAAAGTATATATTTCTATATAAATTCCATTTCGTTCCCCGAAGAGATACCTGGAAGAAAAACTGATCTAGTTGTGACAGGAACATAGAAGTGAGCAGTGATTTGCTTTGAACTCATTTTACTCAACCCATGACCACCACCACCCTCCCCCTCCCAGACTCCACACAACTTTTTTATGCTCGTGTAAGATGTGGAGTGAGCGATTCTAACGAAATGTTATCTGACTTTCATAACCTAACGTATTTTTTCAACACTTTGAAACACTAACTTCTCTATGTTCGTGTTTTTTTTTTCCAAAAGATCTTGGTCAACGTTTTAAAAAATAGATTTATTCCCCCTTGTATAAAATTGCAAGGTCTTGGCATATAATTAATCTATAACAGCAAGAATATGTGCCACTTTCGGTTATCGGAAATTGCTGAAAAGTTTATACGGATCTACAAATATGGTATAATACTTATATGTGAAATTTCATCAACCTAGCTATAACGGTACTTAAGTTATCGTGTTTACAGATATACACACACACAGACATACGAACAAGATCGAAAAATTATGTTTTTCCCACTCAGGGAGGTGTAAAAAATCTCGATTTTTTTTTTTTTTTTTTGCACGATTACAATACTTTCTCTATATTTCGTATACGAGAAAGTAAAAACAAGCAAACGTAGAGTCTATGTGTTATGAAATTTTTATTCGAAGCTGTCAAATTGATAACTTTCACAACAAGATTCAAATCCGATGTAACAATTTTACAAGAACAATCATTGGCAAAAAGTTACAACTTAATCACAACAACACCAGTATAATGAAACAATCATAAAGGACAGAAACTCTAACAGATTGTCTGTTGCTACTCTCAACACGGCAGAACAGACTTCTTAAGATATACTTGAACTCTTTATTGTACGGCAAGCTACCGCGCATAGATTTTTAAAAATTTCTTCTAAACATAGGTTCTTATTTATTAGCCATACCCTCTTATATATGGCTGTTACGCCGGGAAATAAATTGTAACGATAACGGGAAATGTAGGTATGGCTAATCGAGAAGAACAAACATATTAGTTAAATAGGTATCACAGTAGGTTTGTTTAGTTTAGTAGACAGCTGAAACAATTTTTTGTTTCGTTAGAAAACTTGAGATATCACGTTGTTTTATAAGATAGTTTAAAATTTTAGAATCCTGAGCTAAATGAAATTTGGACATGAAGAGTAACACATTAGGGAAGGGGTGGGGAGGCGACCATTCTTCCACATTATCTACTGTAGGTTAACCTTTTAACCTAGAGATCCATGGGCAGATGAAGTAGAGTTTATGTTTCTGTGGCTTGAATTATGATGGTGAGGTCAGCTTTTTACTGAGTCAGGTACCAACCAGAGCTGGGTGGACTCAGGGACGTCCTATGGACTCGAGAACAGGATCCGAACTTGAGACTTTCGGGTTAGATGTCTTGAGCTCTACCCCTCGATCACACCGTCCCCAAACTGTGTTTGTATCAATAGGTAGTGACGTGTCAACGTTGAGAGACAGTGCTGGGGGCGGGGCAGCAAATGGGGGGGGGGCGTGTCTAAAGGGAGTGGGGTGCGGCACAGACGCCATTGTTTGCCACAACCAGGACGACCCCTTCCTAGAATGGTTGACCACCGAATGGATGACCCCCCACTCCCCCTATCTTTGAACATAAAAGGCAATTTAAGGTGTTTTGGCTTGTAAATGATACCAAAAAAAATTGGACTGAAATAAGAAACAATGCAAAGTTTGCAATAACAGCAAAAAGAAAACACAAAAATTCATTTTAAATGTGGAAAAATATATATGATGTAACGATGTACTCAATTTTACCTCTATCAGAAACAAATGAACATAGTATAGGCGGGGCTGAAGATAGTTAGCTGAACACTTTTCTCTCCCAAAAAATAATTTTCCGATAAATATTTGGGAAAAATAGTCGATCAAAAATGAACAAATGGTTGTTGTTCTTTTTTTAAATTAGATCTTTATATAACTTGTTACAAATATAATATTTATAATTATAACTTTAGTATATCTTTAGGCAGACCTGGGCAGGGGTGTGTAGGTCTACCCCCCCCCTCCCTCTCATGTATATTTATGTATATCGTCAAACACCCACGCCTTCAAAGAAAAATCAAAGACCTGATCCGCCTATGGGAGTAGGCCATAGAAAGCTCTTCATTAGCCGTCTAATCATTAAGAAAAGTCATTTAAATGTACTAAGAAAGTGTGTAGTTATTAGTTTTGCCATTGAGAAAGTGTGTAGTTATTAGTTCTGTCGTTGAGAAAGTGTGTAGTTTGATCGTGTTTTTTTAGTGCACTGGATGAAACTGAATACAAAACTAAGAGGCTCTCATGCTTCGCAATGGCCAACGTTGAAGCGAAAGATGGATTCGACTTCTTAAAAAATGAGATTCATCTATCTCAGTGAGTACTTTAGTTCGACTACTTCAATGTTGGCTTCGATTACTGATACTTGTATATTCACAAGTAAATCTAGTAAAGTACAGTATCGCATTCAACGATACTTCAGCAAGCTGAAAGCCAGCATCGATGAAAAAAAAAATGTAAGCCAGTTTAAATAATGTATCGTCCAAGGCTGTCGTCTGCCTGCTGATGACGTCATCACTCCTGCTGATCAATGCACATATCACACCGCCGAAGGCCGTTCTCGTCACAGTTCATACAGCGAAGGGCACAGAACTCTTCTGTGAAGTGGTTCCGCAGCAGAGATTTTTTACTGCCGTGGCAGTAGTCGCACGGCACAAAACGGTAGCCGCCGCACTTTTCGCACATAATACGCACAGTGATTTTCTGAAAAATAAAAATTAATGAAAATATTGTTTTGAAAAATATTTTTAGGCGAAGATTAAAAAAATATATTTTGTTTTAAATTTGTTTCATTTAAAGTGTGTTACAGAATACCTGAATACGCATAATTTTTTTTTTCTGGAGGGGGGAGGGGGTGGTCGTTTAGCTTCCAAAAAAAATACCACTTCAAATTCTCTAAGCTGTTTTATTGCTACCTGATATCGATACTTTAACACAGGGGTCTCCAAACTTTTCAGCCCGAGGGCCGCATTAACTATCAAATATCAGTTCGGGGGCCAGAGTTTCTTTAAGGCATCTCGTCGAGGTGGTGGCGACCCCCCCCCCCCCCGGAAGAACGTTTTCGCCCCCCCCCCAGCACAATATAATTTATATAGAAGTATATACACATTTTAAGTGTCCACCACCATCTGCCCCCCCCCCTCCCCGAAGTGAAAAGTCTGGAAGAAACACCTTTGGGGGGGGGGGGTTGGTCAACAACACACTCGATGTCCAAGTTTGCTTTGTTCTCAAATTATTCTTAACGTATTTAATTCTCAAAATATTTGTTCACACAGGTATGTTGTTCCAAAATTTAAAAGGTACTTTGATGCAGAAGTTTTAATATTAGGAAAGTCTTCCTTGTGCAAAATCTTATGAAAACCCATCCGCTCTTCTTTGAACGTGTCTCTAAGGAAGTCATTTTCTTGCAATTCAATTACCTCGCGCTGCAGTTCATCTTCGCAACTGGCCACATTTGTTTCAAATGGGTTTTGAAACAGTCACACTTTTTCTGCCTTCGAATCGACGTAAGAGAACCGCTACTGAAACTGCAGCTGGAGGTCTTTGATGTTCTAGTATGTAAATGACGTGGGGAAATCAGTGGTTTTGCTTCAGCCGTTAAGAACTTGCACTGCTGAAAGTGTGACAAGTTGTTGGCCTGTACTTATTCGAAATACATGACAAGTTTGTATCTGAAGGCCTTTAGGTGGGTTTGTAGATCAGAAACTAGATTTCCCTCTCTTGCTGTTTTAGATTCAGAAAATTTAAACGACTAGTTATGTCTGCAGCAGAGGCCAATTTCTATACCCACTCTTCATCAGACAATAATGGTTGTGGCTTGCCTTTACTTTCAGTAGGTCACCTATTTTTTTCTGAACTTAAATATTCTGCTCAAAGCTTTCTCGCAAAATGAGCCATCTTACTGATGTGAAATATGATAAATCTTGCGATTTTGTGTTTGTCTCTGAACTATCTATGGTAAGATATTCTCTCCGGTAAACAGTGTCATACATTCTATGTAGGGAAGCCAGCGCTTGTGTTATGTTCATGTCTTCATCCACACCTCTAATGAACACAAGAAGTTGAGGTGGAACAGCTGTTAAGCCACTCATCCATTGCAAATGAAAAATGGCAAAGTTTGCTTGCATTTCTCGCTATTTGAGTCACGAAGTTTTCACCGATGTCTGCAACACGGCGTGCAATGGTATTTGCACATTAAGCTACATTTTCACATTGTTTTGAATTTTCTGTGTAAAGTTCCTCAGTCACCTTTAACAAACATTTATTCAGTGGACAAAACGATAGTCGCGGGCCGGATAAAATGACCACGCGGGCCGCATACGGCCCGCGGGCCGCATACGGCCCGCGGGCCGTAGTTTGGAGACCCCTGCTTTAACAGGTAACAGCTAAAAAAAACTGAAAATTAAAAAAAAACTCGATACAACTCTGTTTCGCTGCCCGAGATGGGGGCAGTTGGGATGGTGCCGAGTGGGGGTCGGGACGTAATGTGGAAAAGTATCTGTGTGAATGCTATTCTGCCGGACCCTTGTAACAGAATACTGTACGTAGACCAGAGAGGGGGGGGGGGGGGCTGCGGACCGCACCGGGTGACACTATTTAGGGGGGGGGGTGACACCAAGGCAAAAAATAGCAAAATATATAGAGAAAAACTTGAGGGGGGGGTGCAAATCGAAAGTTTGAGCGGGAGGGGGGTGCAAATCGAAAGTTTGAGGGGGGGGGTGCAAATCGAAAGTTTGAAAGTTTGTCCCCGGGAAGGGTGACACCATTAAGTGCCGCACCGGGTGAAACCCGACCTCGCTACGCCACTGACGTAGACTATGAATAATAAATAATATAAACATTCCGCGTGCTTCATACAAGGACATTGGGACATGTGTAGTAAGTGAATGATGATTGCAATAGTAATAGGACTGCTAATTACCTGGTAATTATCTAACAGTGGGCGGAGCTCTCCTGCTTCGTTCATTTTCTCCAACTCTTCAGAACTCTAGACGGAAGTAAACATTGGGTTAAATATAGAAGCATACTCTTCAGAGCTCTAGACGGAAGTAAACATTGGGTTAAATATAGAATCATACTCTTCAGAGCTCTAGACGGAAGTAAACATTGGGTTAAATATAGAATCATACTCTTCAGAGCTCTAGACGGAAGTAAACATTGGGTTAAATATAGAATCAAGGGCAAAAACATTAGATTTGGTTGGCTCTCAAATTTTGGTCGAAGGTACTTATTTCAGAATTTTTTTTTAATTTTTAAAGGTTTCAGTAGAGATAAAGAATTGTGTATATCTTTAAAGCTGGGTCAGCTTTTGAAGGTTGTGGTTTCAACATCAACGAACATATAATTGTATTTAATTTATAAAACTTGATTATGCTCTTCTATGATGGGGAAACTGTACAGTTTAACTATAACCCTTGAATGCTGAATCTTACCGTTAAATGTTAAACCTTATGCTAAATGTTAAACCTTATCCCTTTGCGTTAACCCTAACCCCTGTAAGTTAAACCTAAGCCCTGTAAGTAAAACCTTACAGTTTTTACCCCTAAATGTTAAACCTGAACCTGTACGTTAAACCTGACCCCTGTATGCTAAACCTTACCCGTGTATGCTAAACCTTACCCCTAAAGGTTAAACCTGACCACTGAACGTTAAACCTAACCCTTGTATGCTAAACCTTACCCCTAAATGTATTCCGTCAGCGAAGACGTGAGGCAGATGCACAGAACTGACGCCCTCCTGTATCAGCCGTTGTTTGAGTTCCTGTTGGATCTCTCGACTCATGTACAAGTCTCGTTCTTCGTAGCGGACCTGGTGGGATACAAGACAATTAGGTCAGGGGTTCTAAACTTTTGTCCCAGTGGTACAAGTCTCGTTCTTCGTAGCGGACCTGGTGGGATACAAGACAATTAGGTCAGGGGTTCTAGACGTTTGTCTCAAGTCTCGTTCTTCGTAGCGGACCTATGGGGAAACAAGACAATTAGATCAGGGGTTCTAAACTTTTGTCCCAAGTCTCGTTCTTCATAGCGGACCTATGGGGATACAAGACAATTAGATCATGGGTTCTAAACTTTTGTCTCAGTGGTACAAGTCTCGTTCTTCGTAGCGGACCTGAGGAGGGGGGGGGGGGGACACAAGATATTAGATCAGGGGTTCTAAACTTTTGTCTCAGTGGTACAAGTCTCGTTCTTCGTAGCGGACCTGAGGAGGGGGGGGGGAACACAAGATATTAGATCAGGGGTTCTAAACTTTTGTCCCAGTGGTACAAGTCTCGTTCTTCGTAGCGGACCTGGTGGGATACAAGGCAATTAGATCAGGGGTTCTAAACTTTTGTCCCAGTGGTACAAGTCTCGTTCTTCGTAGCGGACCTGAGGAGGGGGGGGGGGGGACACAAGATATTAGATCAGGGGTTCTAAACTTTTGTTCCAGTGGTACAAGTCTCGTTCTTCGTAGCGGACCTATGGGGAAACAAGAACATTATAGCAGGGGTTCTGAACTTTTGTCTCAAGTACACAGGTACAAGTCTCGTTCTTCGTAGCGGACCTGGGGAGGGGGGGGGGACATAAGACAATTAGATCAGTTTGTCACATTGGTACAAGTCTCGTTCTTCGTACGGATATGAGGGGATACAAGACACTTAGATCAGTTTTGTTTTAGATTTAGGTTTGTAACAAACTTTGATTTGAAAGTTACCATATGATTCTATAACAAGCTATCAAAATTTATCATGTGATTCTGTAATAAACTATCAAAATTTACCAAGTAACAAACAAAATTTACCATGTGATTCTGTAGCAAACTCCTGACAATTTTACACCTCTCGCTCGTCTCCCTGACGACCGACATGGTCGTGGCGTACACGACGATCTTGCCCTGCTCCAGCAGACGGTAGTTGCGCTGTGGGGAGAAAGGTCAAGGTTAAACAAGTGACTGGGCTGGAGAGCATCAATCCAAGTTTTTACTATCCTCAGGAGAGTGTCCTGATAGGTGTCACTCGCCTTGTTGCACACCTTAATTACCCGAAGGGCAGTTAGGAGGTGTCTCAGAATGCACCCAACCTCACCCCCAACAACTTCTACCCCCCCCCCCCCTCCCTCCATATTATCATAAAAGTTTATCGTATCAGTAAATTACGATACAACATGTACCATCGAAAATTATGTACCAACCATGAACCCAGCTCATCCAGAGGCGTAGCGACTCATTTCGGCGCCCGGGGAGAACTATCAACTTTGCGCCACATGGGCGAAAAAGCGCTCCCCCCTACTCCTCAATTTACTAGTCACTATGCCTTGACAGTTGTAATAGTTTGTTAAGTTAGTAAGGAAAAAAAGCAGTTTTCTATTTTTCTATCATTCAGTAATGCAGCTCAAAATGAGTTTTACAATTATTTTTAACCCCATTTCGAGCCCCTTATGGAAGGCGCCCGACACGACCGCCCCACCCGCCTTCCCCTAGCTACGCCTCTGAGCCTATCTAGTCTTAAAGTTGCTATAGGCTTATACTAACACAGGGTCTTACTACTGTACTAAAACAAATTTTCAAGTTGTTGTTATACAACTAGTATACTGTCATCATATGTCATCGTACTCTCATCAAATGTCATAGTACTATCATCAAGCGTCATTGTACGATCATCAAATGTCATAGTGATTCCGTCAGGCCGTGGAAGTAAAAGACAATAATTAGAATAATTTCTTAATTAGCATGCGGTCAACCCTTGGGCTAGCCAGACAAGGACACTAGGCCTTGAAGGTGTAACGACAGGCGACCTCAGGTAGGCTAAATCTTCTGTTTGTTAGATGCCTAATGACATGGTAATTAGATGCTAATGAGCGGGTTCTCGCACTGTCGAGTCACATTCTTCTCTTAAAGGATTAGCAGCTTAATTGTGTACAGACTCCATCCATCTTTTCGCACGCTCTCTCCATATTTTCTCTGTATTTCTCTCTGTCTCTCTCTCTGTCTGTCTCTCTCTCTCTCTCTCTCTCTCTCTCTCTTTCAGTTTTTTTAGAATGGACTGGGGGGAGGGGGAGTATAAGATTTTTTTTTCTTTGTAAAAACATGATACTCAACAATGACTCTCAAATTACCTCACAAGTAATTACTATCACATTACAGAACGCTAATTACACTAAAATAATATACAATAATAGCTATGAAAGTATAAACCCAAGCCATAAAGGGGAGTTAACAAATGTCTAAAGCTAAAAAAAATAAAACTACGTATTAAAATAACATGCATGTTTATGAATATAACGTCAGTTCTTTAGTATTGAGTCGCCTCTAGGGCAGGTAAGTCAACGGGGCTGGAGAGTGCTAACCCACACCCACACCCCACACCCCCAATTAGGGACATTTAAATCAACTATGGAGGGTATTTCTTAATCGTCAATTAGGGACATTTAAATCAACTGTCCTGGGGGTGGGGGGTCTCTACCACCCCAGTCTTGGAACCTCTACGGTGACATTCACCTTATTCAAATTACGGGGAGGTAATCCATGTAATTTCTGAGAGGTTTATTTTCATCTTTAACTGGTTGGTATACAACCATTGGTGCAAGCTTTGAATAAAACATTTTGTTGTGGTCTTTCTTGTTCTTCGTTCTTGTAATATTGAAGGTGTTTTTTTTTTCTGCCGCATAATCAAGTTTTACGATTCAACTTGTGTCTGCTTTTCATTCTGGGTTTTCTCTAAACTTTAGACCAGGGGTTCCCAACCTTTTTTTTACTCTAGAGCACATTCTAAAATATCGGTAGGGTGGCGGGCACCACCTATTTTTAATCGACAAACTCCTTCCAGAGGCGTAACGACCCTTCCCGTCACCCGGGGACAAAACTTTCGATTTGCACCCCCCCCGCTCAAATTTTCGATTCGCACCCCCCCCTCTCCCCCCCTCAAACTTTCGATTTCCATCCCCTTCAACCTTTCAATAATGTTTATAAAAAAATTCTGTCTCTGTCGAATAGTGAGAGGCGGGCACATACGAATCGTTCGGCGGGGGCCATGGCGCCCGCGGGCACGGGGTTGGGAACCCCTGCTTTAGACTAAAGAAGTAGTTGTTTGATTTCGGAGTTTTATCTCACAGAAAGGGATGTTGCTCCCATCTAACAAGCCTCTTCTCCCCGGGGATCGAACTTAGGATTTGGAGTTAACAATCTTACGCTCCACCACCCGGCCACGCCCTAGACGTCGTCTAATGAAGAATTTTCTTTACAGCTAGACTCGACACGGGAATGTTAACACAATGTGCTAGAAGAAAGTCATGCACGCGTACAGTCACAAATTGAACGCTTAGTATCAGCAATGACAACCAGGGGCGAAATTAACTTGAACGGATCCTCGGGCTGCTGCCCTGTCAGTCCCTAATTGTATCCGCCACTGGTACCAACGTAATATCAAATTCTACTAGCCGTACAATATGATGATACCTAATGTGAACAAGAAGTCTGGCTAATATGGGTCCAAGTTTTCTGACTCGGTAAACTGGAGGTTATGTCGTAAAGAGTACAATACCACAAACATGGTCCTGAACATAAAAAACAACTGTATCATAAAATAATATTTGCTGGTAACATTCTTCAAGGGAATTTCAAGGGAATTAAATCCGTTCAAGGGAGATAACACGCGTGTTTTTCCCCCTCTTATCTCCCTTATAAGCATCTAATGTTAGTTGACTCTACTGAACGTTCAATACATTTTCTTTGAAGCTAGGCTGTCGACTCAGGTCGGTGTGTGGTTGGTGTGGTTGGTGTGGTCGGTGTGTGGTTGGAGTGTGGTTGGAGTGTGGTTGGTGTGGTTGGTGTGTGGTTGGAGTGTGGTTGGTGTGTGGTTGGAGTGTGGTTGGTGTGGTTGGTGTGTGGTTGGAGTGGTAGCGAGACACAGTATTTGTACTATGGCAGCTATTGCTTCCTCGTTGACGCCATCTTGTTTGTTAACGTACGCAAGCGACATGTGACCCGATCGTATGGAGTGGGGTGAGGGCGGGAAAGGGGGGGGGGGGGGGTCTGGTAAACTACCTCGCAATATTTTTGTAGGTTTTAGCCGCCTTCCACTCATTGTAACACGTCACAAAAAGCCAAGGCCATCTAAACTATTTAAAGTAACATCATCAAATCCGCCCCCCCCCCCCCACACACACACTCACACAATCACCTTCTCCATAAATAACATGATAATATTGTATGCTAAGATTGTTTTCATCACGTTTTCTCTTTTAAAATACCAAACACGAAACTTTATATAACTTGGACAACCCTACCTCCCCCCACCACTCATCGATGTAGTGTATCTTTATCAGTCTATCCCCCCCCCCCCCCACCAATCAAGATATGTGACGAGTTATTGACGACACACACACGCACAAACATACACACATACACACCCCTCAGGACATTGAGGGTACAAGTAGATCATGAAACTTATTTTTAGCCGACAACAACAGGATCTGTGACGTCACGGCACTTGGACAAGATTTACGACACCTATTTAAAGCTGATCTCACGTGATATTTGTAGATCTTTAAACTCTGGCTAGACAACTAGGCAGTATTTGCAGGTCTTTAAACTCTGGCTAGACACGACCAGGCAGTATAATATAAACAATAGGCAATGAAATCTCAGTAAGGTCATTGCAAAGATAGCAATCTACAAAGATCACTATGTATAGGCAAAGATTACTATCTACATAGATCATTATCTGCAAAGATCACCATCTACAAAAATCACTATCTGCAAAAACCATTATGTGTAAAGATCATTATAAAAAAGATCATTATCTACAAAGATCACTTTCCATAAAATTCACTGTCTGCAAAGATCACTATCTGTAAAACGATTATCTGTAAATGTCATCATTGACTGTATAAAGCGTCCTATATCGATAACTGTACACAATACATCGCTATCTGCAATATTAGTCTTCGAAAACATAATAGACAGCAAACACCATTAACAGCAAACATATTAAGTACAGACACAAACAATGCATCAATCACTGCTTACCAGATTAACTGCACACACCATTACCCGCAAACATGATTGAGCAAAGATTTCTTTTAAAAAAAAATTTCCATTAACCTTTGACCTACTATCTACAAAAGGCCTTCAGCCCGCAGCTGCGGATGATCTAAAAATAGATCACCAGACCACCGGAAGTGGCCGGTCAATTAAAACCTGACTCATCAAACAAGGGCCGCAACAATGCCGTCTGGGCTAACTAAACAATACCACCCCCCCACCTTTTAACCGTGTTTAGACGGGAGGGGGGGGGGGGGGTTGCAGGTGTTAAAAGAATTAAGTGACAAATGTGTCTTCTTTGATCGCGGCATTTCTCACATTTCAAGACCAGGTCATCGTGACCTGATGAAAATATCCGTTGAAATCATTTCTCTCACTGAAAGTTAATTTTAAAGCACACTGAAATCGACATTATCTAGTTCTATCTCCCAAAATGTAGTTTTGATAAAAACGCATTTGAAGTTTCATGATGGGGTCTGATTTACCTTATAAAAATATTTTAACTTATTTATTTTTATTATAAAATGTTTAAGGGCATTAAACAATTAGCATTAAATCTATTTTTATGACTTGATGTAGCAATAGAAGCCCGAAATAATTATTTTTCGCTTTTGAGATAGAACAAAATACTATCAACTAGATCAGATTCAGGATTGTAAAATTGTATAAAGTTCCAAGTCAAATTTATTTTTTTTACTGGCCAATATTTTTTTTTTAATTGATTTACATCTTTTTTTATTTTTTTTTTTTTTTTTTTTAATTTTATTTTAAATACTTTTATTTGCAATTAAACAAGTACATCAACATCAAATTTTTAAACATAATTTTGAACATCAAATGAAAACGAAAGGTTTTGCAAATGTACATAATGAATATTT